ATGCAGATGAATTATGGAGGGGCAAGAAGCTTGTGCCACTTACTGTCTGCCATTACTTGGCAGGGATGTCTGCTATATATGCTAATGAACTTTATAAGATCTTATAAAATAAATGAATCTGGTGCTGCAATAATAAAAGGAGGATGGAGGGAAGGGGAAAAGGAGAATTGCGATGTGTTAGGTACATTTACCAGTTCACTGCGGGGAGTGTAATAATTATGTGCTGCAAGCATGTACTCATAAAAGTAAACACAAAACTGAAGAGTATTGTCTATCATTAATTTGAGCTTGAGGAATTTCCTGAGCTCTCAGTGACATTATATATTAGCTTAATAAGTAATCTTAATCTTTCCAGAAAAAAAAATTGTACATATTTTATGGTTTTGTACATTAAGTATCACTTCATTATGCAAAGGTGAAAAAATACATTTACTGTTAATGTTTAATAATACTTTAAATGTTTCCTAAGCCATCAACTTGTATGAGCTAATGATCCAATTTCTTTTTTCCTTTCCTTTCTTTTGGCTATTTGGAAAACCCTTTAAGAGATCCAAGTATTGAGTATTTCTTGTTTCTTTTATTGACCTGCCTATATATTGATAACATATACGTCAGTCAATTTCTTGGTTCTGTTTTTACTCCACTAATGATTTTCTTTCTCTATACCACTTCTATAAATCTTCAATGATTGCTGTCATAAGAATTATCGGTAACAATTAGGGAATATCACTATTCCTGAATCTTCTCACAAAGCTTATGGAGTTTGACCTTTTACTTATTATAGAATCAGCATATTAATTTCAGTGAAATAGCCTGTGTGATTTGGATGAGGTTTTGTTGAATCTATAAATTATTTTATAAATACCAACTTGTTTTGTAATGTGATTAGACTAATTTAAATTATATTGATGAATGATAAATCCTTGTCAACTTGGAAGGAACTAATAGCATAATTTATTTTATAATAATTAATGTATAACTTTCAAGAAGGTAAACATACCCTTCATACACATATGAAATGCAATCATGGAAATTTTATTCATCAGTCAAAGAGGGAAACACTAATATAGTGCAGTTGCTATTTCTGAGCAATGTTAGAATAAATTTGCTGTTAGTCTTGCCTCTCATAATATCCCCTGTTTAAGTCTGATAGGAACATGAACCATAACCTTCAGAATTATCTCTTTTATTGGCCAGAAATACCTATCAGATAGTAGTCTACACATTAATGTCTCATCCTTTTTAGTGCTAAAATATCCCAAAGAAAAGACAAGCCCAGCACTGTAGTAAATAAAAGAGCCCCTAGGCTCTTTTAAAGGCTTTTGCCTTTTTCGAGTTTTGGATAATTTTTTTGACAGAGCTGATAGTGATTTTATCTCCAGTATAAGTGTACTACCTTTTAAATATATCACTGTGTACCTTTCCACACAGCTTATGGAAAATGTCCTGGGCCAATTTTATGAACAAAGCCTAGTTAACTATTAAAATGCTGAGAATCTGATAGATTTGTAGATTGCTGCTCTTTTCCAAATATATTTGAGAATTTATCATAACATTTTTCAGACTTATTATTTAAAGAAAGTGTAGAAAAAATATATATTTATTTATTGTAAAGTATAGATGTTTGTTTTCCATATTGCTACTTACAATAGCAAACCAACCCTAAAGATCTTTTAGGTGATCGATGAAGAATGGTAAATGGTAATCTACAGAAACATAATGCAATTATGAAAATGATGTAGACTTCATCTCTATTCTTTATTAAAAGCAATTAGGTTATTGAGCTGCATGTGTATGATATCTTCCTTTGTATTATTTTATAGATTATTGAAATGTCATCAGAAACTTGTTCACTGTAGCAGAAAAGTTTACTCATACTTCTGCACTTAGTAAGCTTTAGAAATGTGTCAGAAAAGAAATGTTATATGTGAGATATTTAACAGACTTTGTCATCAGTTCAGCACTGTAACAGGGATTCTTCAAAGGCGGGCAACTGATTCTGAAAGGCCCGAGTTCTGGACAAATTATGTAGAATTAGTGGGTACAGAAAAGTGAGAATTTGGAAGCAATTCTTTGAGAGTGAGCTGTTGTTTCGTGTCTGCTTACATATAGACTTCATCTATTACTTATCATGTGGTGGAGTTGCATCACTAAACTGACCATAAGTTGCAATGATTGTAAATAAAAATGCATTTAGTACAACTAGTACATTAACTGCTGTAGCTGAGCAGCGTAGTACACTCATGGGAGTAATCTGCTATTTACTCTCATACTTTTTTGCTGACTGGAAGCTGCCTCTGGTTACCATTGTTCAGCATTATGAGGAGGTAGCTGACTTGAATTTGTAGCCTGAGAAAATATAAAAATTCTAAGCATATTGTGTAGTTTCTACTGTATGAGGATTGCTTTTGTGCATTTATAAAATTGAAAAACCACTAAGGTAAACCGTTGTACGTCAGGGACTTCAGTATTACCTCCAACAAATTGATTGGTGGAAGTATTCTACATTGTTTCTTCTTTGCCTTGTATTATCATTTTTTCTGAGCAAAATTCTTTCTTGGAGAAATTGAAAAATGGGTGACCCACATTAAAAAAAACCAATTACAGTGTTTATTCTAGGAACTTTTTATTAATAATTATTTTTTACTGACTACACCAGGAAAGAAAGTTGAGCTGCTTTGTGTATATAGTATCTCCTTTAATTTTCAGAACAATTTTGTTAAATGGAATAACTCTATATAGAGCTATTTATAGAGAAGAATGGCGTAACAAAAATAGTTTTAAAAGAAGGACATATCATTTAATTTTGATGTCCATGTTCTTATCTCTTTTACCCCATATCCTGTGCAGCAAAATAAGCATTCACATGCTCTTGGGAAAACCTCTAGGAAACCCATTAGTTTTATTATAATTTTGAGAGAAATTATGTGTGTGATCATTTCTTCCAATTGCACCTATTTTTTTAAAAATGCATGCAACGTGATCTACCTATTTAAAGTAGTCTTACTTTCGCAAGAATTCTAAGTGCTAAGAGCAATAGAAGAGACATATGTGCAGGGAGTTCCATTCATTAATGGAACTTGTATGTATGAACTCCAAAATGGAAGAGACTGCTCAGAGTTGATGTAAAACCTTATGGTATTGGTGGGAAATGTTAAGTAAAAATAATTGCTTTCTTCATAATGTGTTATTGTCTTCATGAGATTTCCAGTTTCAAGCTCACAACTAGCATCTCTTGGCCTGACATTCTGTGACCAAATGTTTCCCTCCCAGGAAACACATTTCTCCCCAAACTGTGTTTTGCTATTTTACCATGCCATTCTTAGTAACCCTAGATGGTCAGCACTCTCTATTATTTTCCTTCAAGGATTTAATATGAGTAGTGCGATACAAATCATCCTTGACTTATGATGGAATTATGTTCTAATAAATCTTGATAAATTAAAAATATTAACACATTTAATACACCCAATCCACCAAACATCATGACTTAGTCTAGCTTACTTTAAAGTGCTTAAGACACTTATTGTAGCCTATAGCTGGGAAAGGCATTTCATATAAATCCTATTTTGAAATGAAATGTTGATTCTCTGAGGCAATTTATTGAATACTTGTACCCCAGAATGCTGACAACATGGTACACTGGTAGAATGTGAGTTATTTATTCTTTTGATTGCATGACTGATTGAGCACTAGGTCTCAGAGCTAAGAGAGTAACTTGAGAGTGTCTGACCTCAAATTGAAGGGTTGGGAAAAAAAATCACAGTTGAAGATTCTAGGTATGGTTTCTACTGAATATGTCACTTTCATACCTTTACAAAGTAGCCGTGCTTGGTAAATTGGGGAATGTCTGCCTTACAGTCTGAGATAGAGACTACATAGTATCTTCTACCTTCTCATAAATAAAAGGGAAACAAGTATGCATGTTTCAGATGTTATTATTATTTTTTTTTGTACTGGGGATTGAACTTAGGACCTCATGCTTTGGAGCCAGGCAGTGGAACCACTGAGCTAAATCCCTGGCCCTAGGTGTTTTGAATTTTGAATGGTGGTTGTGACTGTGTTGGTCATATTATATAAGCTTTTAATCTTTTGTGTGACTTGACCAGCTTTATATTTGCAGAGTGCATCAGTAAACAAGTGCGTATGTGTGTGTTTATAGATGTATACATATGGAATGAGAAAAATAACTAGAAATAATCATAGTGTATCTGGTATTTCATTTTGTCGAGGTGGTGTTGGCAAAGATACATGATCCTTATGAGATTTATTTTTAATAAGCTCAAGTATTATTCATTTTGGCTGCCTGTTATTATATACTTAATAGAATAAAAATGAATAAATGTTGTTTTCTGTGCAATTTCCTTTTTCTTTTCTTTTTTTAATGACTCAGCGCAGAATTGTTCTCCTCATATAGTTGGTCAAGGACAGGATGAGGTGGAATCTCTTTGTGGTTTCAGGATGACAAAACGTACATTAATACTTTTTTTTTTTTTTTTGGTACGGGGATCAAATTCAAGACCTTGCACTTGTGAGGCAGGCAGTGGAACCACTGAGCTAAATCCCTGGCCCCATTAATAATTATTCTACCTTCCTTTATTTTTTGCTTCTCTTCCTTAGACTTAAGACAGTTAGAAGCTGCTTAAATTTAATTTTTTTTTTAGACGGAGAAAGGTAGAAAGCAGGTCTAGTAAATAAATGCACGTTGCACATGAAAAGATGAATCAAAAGTGATATGAATACAAAGGTATTCTTCGCTAGATTTGTATTGCATTTGTCATGGAAATAACCAGGTTGTGAGTTTCTGGCTAACTGTAAGTAATGATTACCAAGAACTAACAGAGGAGTCAATGCAAGTACTGATGAGTTATCACCATAATTTCTAATGAAAATAAATGTATGGGTTATTGCACTTTAGATTATTTTTTCATTACCATCATATCACACCATATTTATATGTGTATATATTGTATCTGGACACACACACACACAAACACAAATACAAAACTGGCTTTTGCCTTGCTGTGGTGTGACTCTTTCTACACTTTATGACAGTGCAAATGTAACACACATGCAGTGGAAACCATGTGTAGAATTTGGAGTTTAGATCTGTCCCCAACTTGCAGCTCTTCTGTGTGATACGATATGCTGTAGTGCTGCCCGGCCCCAGTGGGCAGCCTCAATTAGTTGGCCCTGGGGTCACAGGGTGAATTACTAGTACTGTGCGTTGTATTGGATTGCCCGTGTTTCCTGTCCAGAGGCATTCAGTTATGTGCACGAGACAGTCAATACTTCCTGACAAATATTCCTAACATTTTTTTCGTGTTACTTGATTTTGTGCAAGTGTACACAGATATATGGTTGAGTATATTTATGTAGGATAGGCCGAGCCATAATGTTCAGTACACAGGTATATCAGATACATTTTTGACTTATGACGCTTTAGATTTATGAAGAATATGAATTATGAGTGTGTGTCTTAGCCACTTTTCCATGACAGGGACAAAATACCTGCCACCCACAACCTAAGGAGGACAGGTTTATTTTGGCTCAGGGGTTCAGTGCACCATCAGTGGGCTCCAAGGCAGAAACAGGGTGGCCGAGGAGTGTGATAGAGGAGTGGGATGCTCAGCCCATGGCAGCCAAGAAGCAGGAGAGACGGGAGGAGCTGGGGACAATACGTTTTTCTACGTCATACTCCTAGTGGCCCACCTGTAACCAGGTCCCACTTCCAACACCATATTCAGCTACTATGAATCCACTGATGAGTATGGTGTCCCCCACGATCCAGTCACCTTCCAAAAGCCCCACCTCTGAGATGTGTTTGGGGACATTTTAGATCTAAACCAAAACAGTATCCAGCTGTATCTTAAATTGAGGAGAATCTCTGTGTATAAATAGATACATGTGTGTGTGTGTGTGTGGTGTACATGCATATATGTGTAACTATTTACCTTCTACCAAATGACATTATTAAAAATTTTATTTTTTTAATGCAGAGAATAGCATCAAATATCTTTAAAGCTTATCTCTGCTTCCTTATGAAACTGGCAAAGGAATTGAGTAAGTTGGATTTAAGTCATTGTGAAGAGAATTGTTTGGAAAAAAGGAAGAGAGAAAGCCCTAGAAAGGAACTCCAAAGCCTTGAAAGTGAGGTTATTTGTAGGTGTACAGTAAAGGTTGGAGATAGTGGAAACCAACCGGAACCACTTGAGCATTAACTAGCCAAAGTAGGTAAGCTATTTTTTTTTAAAGTGAAAAAGTAGATAGCAAGCTTATTTAGCTAGTTTTTTCTATAGGCCCTGATTTGAATGCTTGTCCTGTATGATAATGTGGTTACCAGAGTCTAGGAATGAACATTTGGAAGTAGATAAGAATCTGCTCAATAATCAAGGGGCAGAACTTGCAAGTACTGTCCAGCTTCCCTGAAGAGATCTGCTGTTTGCAGTGTTCTTTCATAATATTTTACAAAGGACCCACAAGTCTTCCTTTCTTGGTAAAGGAGTACCAATTTAATAGAGAGGTAAGAGGCAAGAAGGGGCATGGAAAGACCAGTGTCCCTACTCTATCTCAGTGCTAGCTAAGTGAGTTTAGGCAACTCAGTAATAGTGTTTCAGTAAAATTTTCTTTTGCCAAAGAGTTACATGCATAAGAATGTCGTCCTTTTAACTGGGGGGCATGTGTAATCGGGAAGGTAACTCGGCGGCAAAACAGATGGACCAGAAATGTGGAAGTTGGGTGGGAACCAGGCATGATTTAAATCTTTTCGTACCAACCGTTTAAGTCTGGGGCCTATTTCTAACCGTCTAAGGGCGGCACAAGTCAGCACATCACTTTATGAACCCAACTTTACTTGGTCAAGTCAATTTCAGTGAGTCATCATGAGACTTGGCCTGGCAGGGTTTTAGGCTGTCTCTGCAAGATTTTTCAGATACTGATACACTTAGTCCAGGGCATCGGAAAAATGGCTCTGCCAACCGCCTTCATGCGCAGTACCCGCCCGACTGGAACCACAGGGAGGGGGTGGGGTGGCCCGGAGGAGGTACATTGCGGGCCCCTGGAGGTGTGTGAACCTGTGCTTTTCGGGACAGAAACCACAGTAAGGGCCCCTGAAGATGCCGGGGTAGTGGTGAACTGAGCCCGAGATGCTGCCAGGCCTGTTCGGCAGTGTGGCCCAGGGTCCCTCCACCCCCGCGGCGGGCCCAGCGGTGGTCCGCTCCCGTTGCCAGGTTATGGACCAAACGCTGAACGTTCTAGGTCAGTGTCGCAAGCCGCGACATCAGGATCCTGCCAGCAGGTCCTAAACCTGAAAGGACGAGGACAGAGAGACGGGAGGACCTTATCTTCTCATGTTACTTGCTGCTACTTTATTACCGAACCTCTCCTTTTATACTCTCTGGCTGTGCGGCTGTTAGAGAGCTCCGCGCACACATTCCGGAAGGAAACCGTTGAACCGTTACATTTGCACCAGTAAACCGTTCAACAGATCAGACCACCAGTAAACCGTTCAACAGCTCAGGTGAATCACAGGTTAATACGGCTGTGCTCTCCATAGGTCAGTACTCAACCGCCAAGGCCACTGCGCAGGCGGCCTTGTACCATGGAGTGGCCCGACACTGTGTGTCTCTTGACCGTTCTCCTACTTTTGTGGAGGATTTTTTGCGCCATTAGAAGCCGACTCGGCTTCAGAGAAAAACAGCTTAGTCTCCAGCTGGCAGATCTTCTTCAGGACAAATGCCAGCTGTTGGATAAAGTGAGCCGACTTCAAACAGGGCAGGAAGCCTTAGAGGCAGCTCTCAAAGAGGCCAGGGAAGCAAAGCGTTGGGAGATGGCCCAGGACAGAGCCAGACTTCAAGGGCTGATAGCCGTCCTCCTCGGCGAGCTCAAAGAACAACACTCGGCACCTTTTCGGAACCAGCAGTCCAGGATGGCCGTGATTTCCAAGAGGGTCCGGTCCCTAGAAGAAGAATCCGAATCGCTCACGTGGAAAGTAGCTGAAACCAAAGTTGCCCTACTGCGCTTCAACAAAGCACGGGCCCAGGGAGCAAGGGCAGAGGAAGAACCCATAGCGTCTGTGCACCATCTCCAGACTCAGCGAACATCTGGGCAGTCAGCAAACTCCCAGCAGCCAAGCGCGCCCCAGAAGCTTCAGCAGAGGCTCACAGCGAGCTTCGAAGTCCAACACCGAGTCCTGAGCTGCCACGGGAAAGCCGGCCTGCAGGCGAGATCCCGGGCAGAACAACAGCTGCAGGAGAGGGAACGCGCTGCCACCGAAGAGCTGGAGACCTGCAGGAAGCTAGTCCGGGACCTGGAGGAGGAATGCGAGAGGACCGTCCGTTTCTACCAGAGGCAGCTGACCTCCGTGCAGAGAGAAGCCCGTGAGAACTGGGTGGTGGCTCACAACGCTGAAAAAGAGCTCTGCAATCTGAGAAAAGAAAATGCTCGCACCAGACAAAAGCTGCGCGAAATGGAGCTGAAAGCTCCCCTCTCAGGCAAAGATCCTGCTTCACTCAGTGTTGCAGAGAGCGCATCCAGCAGATGGTTTTCCCCGCGTGGTCCCTCCAGGCGGTGTCGACCAGCACCTGCCAAGGGATCCTTTCCCCTCCTGCCCACGCTGTGGGAGGAGCCCGGGGATTGCTGGACTTCCTCTCTGGCCGGACCACAAAGCCCACCCACAGCCCCTTAAGGGGGCCTCAGGCAGCTCTGCTGGCCCAAAGCCAAGTCCCTCCATATCTCCTGCCCTTCCTCCAGGTGGAGTTCTATCATTCCTAAGGCCCCAGTGGCCCAGGTCCTGAGAGGTCCCCTTCCTCCTCCTCCGCCTCCTCCAGGAAACAGGGACAAAACATCCCTGGCCCCTCAGGTACCCACTTCCTCAAGCCCAGGCCAGCATTCGCGATGAGGAAGGTCTACCCCATGGCCTGTTCCTCGGCCTCTTCCTCCCAGAGCTGGGGTTTTGCCAATGTCCACCTGCTAAAGGGAGAGGCTCCTTTGGGATCCTCTCTGACTTCCGGCGAGCCTGCTGCTCAACGCCGAGGCCCCCAACAGGAAGCCGGGCTGGAGCTCTGCTCTGCTCTCCTGAGTCCCTCCCACCTTCTCTCTCACTTTCTGCCCTTCTGCCCTTTCCCCGGCCTAGTAGTTAGGAAATAAACTGGTTTTATGTATGAAAAGCTGTGGATGCTCAGTTTCTAAGTCTATATGAGACAGAAGTTAATAAAAAACACAGAGTTGGTGACGAGTCCCATAGGAACTCCTCTTCTGCCTGGCCAGGGGCAAGCAGGGTTTCCACAAGCACAAAGCGGATTTCACTTTGGGGGTCTGGGTCCCAGCATTCACTTTGTCAGTGGGGTTTAAGGAATATGTTAGGTAAGAAAGAGGAAGGGAAGGGGAGGCATTCACGTGAACTCCTGCCTTGGTGCACTGGGCTTTTCTCCAGGTGGTTTTCAGGCCTGTGGGAAACAACCCCAGGTAAAAGCGGCTGTGCCCCAACGGCATTGAGAGCTGGCGGGACAACTGAGTCTGAAGGCTGTGTAGTCCTCAAGATCAGGAGAGAGGTCAAGGTGCGAGCCTCAACTGTGAGAGACTTACACGAAACAGGAGATGCAGAAAACAATAGAAGGAAATGACAATTTCACAGTAGCTTAATAACATAATAAAATATACTTCGTCTGCAGTACACAGTAATTAGTGTGTGACAGAATGTGATCAAAATTTGAAAATATTGATTTAGAAGTGAATATTTCAAAAGTTACCGGAATTGTGTAACTTTTTGTAAAAGTGTGGAATCTGCTACAGTCCATCTGTAAAACTGGTAAATGACACGAGGAAAATACAGGGAAGTGAGAAAAATAACATGAAAAATGCGGATGAGAAGATATCTCAAAGGCATTAGTGCTTCCCGGGCAGGTATTTGAGGGTCAGGAAGGGACCCAAGGGATTCTGAGCTGTGAGGTCCCCCGGAAACACCGTGAGCTCCCTGCGAGAAGTGGCTTCTAGACGGCTTCCGTGAGGTGGTGACGCCAGGGTGACCTCCGTCCTCCCGGCACTCTCCTCCCTGGAGGAGGGAACTGGTGGTTGGGGCAGAACTTGCAAGTACTGTCCAGCTTCCCTGTAGAGATCTGCTGTTTGCAGTGTTCTTTCATAATATTTTACAAAGGACCCACAAGTCTTCCTTTCTTGGTAAAGGAGTACCAATTTAATAGAGAGGTAAGAGGCAAGAAGGGTCATGGAAAGACCAGTGTCCCTGCTCTATCTCAGTGCTAGCTAAGTGAGTTTAGGCAACTCAGTAATAGTGTTTCAGTAAATTTTTCTTTTTCTAGAGAATAAAGTTGGAATTTGATGTACTGGAATCATAACCATATTATGAAAAGCAAATTAAGAAGTCAAGCAACGAATAGTGTATAGTGTCTTCCTTAATACTTATTAAAATCATGGGGGGATAAAAGTGCAAATAAGTCTAAACTATTAAAATTGAAAGAAAACTTGTTCAAAAATGTACAGAGAATTACTATGAGTTACAAGAGAGACAAGCCAGAATAAGAAAGATTACAAAGATTCAATTCACTAGGAACTCAAATTTTGGATTCTCAAATTATTATAAGGAAGAAAGGAAGGAGCTTTTATCCTTCTCACTTAGATACTGATTCAGGGTCCTTAAGGATTGTAGTAAAGAAAAAAATTGAATGCTCCTTTATTCAAGTATCTAACCAGTAACCTTAAGTCCAGTAGGTTTCAGGTAATCCGTGAAATTCTAAAGATATGAGTGTAAAACAAAGTACTGTGGTGCCTCCTCTCGCAGAACTTATATTCTAATAAACTTAGCTGGTGTATCTGAGAATTGCTGTTGTCAGCATCGTACACAATGAGTGCATTCACCTCCTAGGGGACCCATAAAAAGGCCCACAGACAATGTGATTGACAAGAATGGGAAGTTTTGGGAGACCACAGTTTGGAACTCAAGACCGTGGTACAGCATGTTTCTTGTGTACCAATAAATGTTTTTTCTGAAACAAATCAAAAGAAAACACCAAGACTTAGCCGGGTGTGGTGGTGCACGCCTGTAATCTCAGCACTCGGGAGGCTGAGGTAGGAGGATCACTGTGAGTTCGAGACCAGCCTGGGCTACATAGTGAGTTCCAGGTCAGTCTCAACTACATAGTGAGACTGTCTCAAAACATAAACAAAACCAAAAACCACCAAGACTTCAAGGGAGCATACTTCACTGCTTTTTCTGGATTCTGCTAGAACTGGATGCACATGCCGTGGACAGTGACAGTACAGTCCAGTTTCTGCCTCTATCTCCTCATGACCCTCTTTCCTTTGTATCTGTTTCTGTGTACAAATTTTCTCTTTAAAACATCGTCAGTCATTTTTGGTTGAGGACCCCTTCTTCTCTAGTGTGATCTAATCGATTTAAGTAACTGTATCAACAATACTTCCATTTCCAACTGAGATTACATTTTGAAGTAATGTGAATTAGGACTTCTGTATGTCATTTTGGAGGGCAGAATTCCAACTCATAACAATCCCTTTAAAGATAATAGAGGTAAGCATAATGTGTACATTTGGAAAGGTGACATTTAGTACATTTGGGAAGGTGACATTTTCATAAATGTAAAGTCACCCACGTTAGGCAGTACTAGTGGTGCAGAATGAGAAAACTTTCTCTGTGCTACATGGGGAGATTTTATGTTTTTCTTCACTCATTGCTTTCAGAGCACCAACCACGGAGTTAGGAGGACTTCACAACTTACAAGCACAGAAACAGCTACAGATTAAAAGTTCTTAGCAGTGAGAGTTATTCTGGGCACTATGTGTATTAATATACAACCTGGACATAGATTTTCCAAAAGGAAACATCTAAAACATAGAGCAAAACTGACATGTATCTGTTGAACGTGCCTACTAAGACAAGAACACTGAGGCAGATAAAACCTTGTTTGTTATGAGTACAGTGAGGAAGATTTTATACATGGACTCCATAACTAATATTGCAGAATCAAAAGGAGGGCAGGCGCGCAACAGAACCAAGCCACACCAAGTAGACAGAGAGGAAGGATCTTCTTTTGGTAGTTATCTATAGCCACCTTACGATCCAAGAGCAAATGGCTGCAGAAGTTTGTCATCCAGGACAGATTTCAAGTAATTACCAGTCAAAAAAGCTGTTTCTGGGCGAGAGCGCACCACTGTGAAAGAGCACAGTGACCCAGAGCTCGGTGGTGATTGCTTTTTTTTTTTTTTTTTTTTTTTTTCGATCAAACTCAGGACCTTGTGCTTGCGGGGCAGTCCTGGTGCCACTGAGCTAAATCCCAGGCCCTGAAAAAGCTGTTTCTGAAAGAACAGCTCATTGACAATCTTGATCAGAGTTAGTCTCTGTGTTCAAATGTAATATCATTTTAAGTTATTAAATAAGAATTTTAAGAGCAAAGCAGGGAAATTTCAATTTAATAAGATCCTGGGTGATCTTTATACAACATTGAAATGGCAAAAGAACAGAATGAATAGGAAATAAAAAAAGCCCCAATCAAAATGAATAGTATGGTACTTGATAGTGTATTGGAAAATTGATGATAATTATACCAAGAAAATCTTTACAGTAAAGTTCCAGAGCGCAGAAAATTTGAAGGGTTCTTTTTTATTTTTCGTATTTGTTAATATTAGAATAGTCTAAAGAAGGTAGCACATGCATGTTATTTATCTATGGAGTAAAAACTCCTGAAAAGTATAGGAAATCTAGCAGTAAATCATCTGAATAGCTTATTGTTACAAAAGCAAAACAAATTATTATAAAAAACAAAAACAATTGCTTAATAGAAAGACTCTAAAATCACCAAATCAAGTGGTCAAAAGAAAGACAATGTAGTTATCAACTTGATAGATTTAAGATCATTTTATAAGAACAAGCATCCATACCTTTTTTTTTTTAGTGAACTATACATATTACTGCAGTCTCAGTTTCCCAATGTACTTAGTGCTAAAGCAGTAGAGATATTATAGAGCTATGTTTTGTTGTAGGAAAGGCACACCAATTTTTTCCAAAAATATGTGTCAGTGAATTATGACAAGAGCATCGAGATATAAACTGAAGTAGTAGAGAATATTGCAGATGATGTGATTGCCTCCCTAAAAAGCCAGCTATAACATATAAGGGAGTTAAACATAATTGCCATTTAAGTATCAAAAGTTAAAAGTCAGAGCAAAGTTAGCAAAGAAAATTATAAAACTATGTAGAAGTAAGTGTCACAAAGGATGTATGTAATATAATAATATCTTGGTGACTCATATAAAAGTAACAATGTTTAACAGTGACATTTCAATATCACTTAATGATTGCAGTTGAAATTTACTTTTTATGAAATATAATCATGGTAATTGTTAGGATAAATGTGACAAAAGGAATATAAATTTTATCTTTGCAACAAGCATATAGTAAAGATGACATTTGCGGACGTGATTAGGGCAGATTTGCTGAAATGTATTATTCAATACTTTGTTCCTTAGAGAGTCGTACAAAAAAAGCATACCGAGGTGTAAATGCAGGACAAGTTAGATAGAAGGAGGGAGGTCACAGCGAAGAGAAGAAAAGGAAAGAAGAGTGGGGAGTGAAGGAGAAAGGGCAGAGACGGAGAGGAAGGCAAGCATTTTTGAATCTGGAAAAGGAAATACTGAGAGAATGTTTAAAATTAGCTAAAATCATAAAAAAATAAGGGTGATCATTAAACTTTACCAGATCCCTGAGTTATGTAGCACTGTTTAATGCCGGGGAAAGTCCTCAAAGTGTTTACTACCACAAACATGCCTCGGTTCGGGACAAGATGTCTTGTGAACTAAAAGAAGGCTTCACTCTGTATTATAGCCATGACACCTAAAAGGTGCTTTTCTGTTCCTAAGATAATGGATCAAAAATGCTCCATTTTTTTTGTTTACTTTTAGTTTTAACTTTAGAAATCATTTGTATAAATATTAGCCGTGATCCACAGGGATAGTATTCACTCAGTGAGGTTTCTAGCTTGAGAGTTTTACTTCACACAATTTTACAATCAGATAGAGACTCAGAAATTATTAAATGAGAGTCCTTACACCATGCAAAATTGTCTTTACTTGCAGGGGAAAAGAGAACAGTGGCTTTCGGGATTAAGTCTTTGCCACATTTGGAGAATTCTTCACTATACAATGAAGCCCATTTCAGAATTGATTAATTCTCATTCATAAGTCTAACATCCTTTAATATTAGTTCTTTTTCAATGAGAATCACATGATGAGTCATTCTACTTTAATAATGTTGAACACGTTAATATTTAAAGAGAGTGGCACAGTTTGTAATAGCTAAAACTTGGAAACAGCCCATTTGCCCATCATTTGGAAACTGGATAAAGAAGATGCGGTTTTCTATAAAATGGATTAATACCCATAAAGAATGAGAAATTAGATTCATTCATAGGAAAATAGATACATATTGAGGATATACTCCTAAGTGAAATAAATAAGTCACACATGTGTAAATACCGAATTGTTTCTCTGGTGTGAATAAACTATAATAGTACATAAGATCCTAAAGAGATAATTGACAATGTAAAATAGGAAGAAAAGGGCTAAAAGTGTAGGGAAAATGGGAAGGGTAGGGGAAAGTTAATAAGAGAAAGAAAAAAATAGGAGAAAATGGAAAAATGGAAATAAAGTATTTGTAAATGGGGAGGAGAGGAGGGGGTGAATGGAGGGCAGGGACGGGGAAAAAATGAGAACCAAGACCTGTCACTTAAAGGTACAAGGTCCCAATGATGAATGTAACTGTACTGTAGACCTAAAATGTACCAATAAACTCAATGAGGAAAAATAAAACTCTATATCCATAAAATTAAAAAAAAAGACAGCCATTGGCTGACTCTGTATTTGTCCAATCTTTGCAGTTCCTTCTATTTTTCCTTAGGTGATATTTTCTAGGGCCCTCTTTATTTTGTTTAAACCTCTAGATAATATCATGTTTAGTTAAAAGACATTTATATGTACCCAAAGTGGATTTATAGTCCTATAGACTTGCCCATTCATTTCAGGAAGTAAAGCTGCAGAACCTTTTCTAAATTACTTGTGTGATAGACCTGTGTCCTCTCACATTTGCTTTTGTATTCGTACTGTATTTTAAGTAGTTTAACTTGATATTAGTATTGCTTGATATTAGCATTACTTTATTTAAAATAAACTGACTTTTCCCTTCATAAACAACAGAAACAGATCCAATAATGGATTTCCAGGATTCTGTTGCAGTTTTGTTTCTGCATGGGTATACATGGGCTTTTGAAGTATGTGTGAGTGGGCTGCCTTGTGGGGATGGGAGCCTGCTCGTAGGCCTGAAATTGGAAGGGATTTGCTGGAAGATGTTGCAACTCTTACGATACCACTCTGCAGAAATTATCAAGCAAAGAACATTTTGGCTTCTAGTTTTGTTTTATTTCCATTTTACCTAGAAGGTGAGGAAAATGAGAAAATTTTGAAAAGAAATTAAAATTTTGGATATAAATATTTTCAAGGAGAAGAAATAAAACTTAGAAGGCATTCTCATTTTTTAAGGTATAAAATTTAAAAGTTAGTTTGTGGTGAATAAAATGTCATTTTGTGTTTTGTGGAACAAGAGACTTCTTTTTAAATATTTATAAGCAAGAAAGTGATATAGTATAAGGCAACGTCATATTGAAATACTTCTCTACTATATGAGGATCTGCATATATCATTTTTACCCCTCTCACCTTGTGTTTATGTGTACCCTCTTGCAAAAAAAAAAAAATAAAAAAACAAACAAACTTCCAAACCTTCCTAGTGTATAAACATATTGTGATATTAGGAAAAATGTAAGTAAACTATTATTGTTGATGTTAACATTAAAATTTTTTTTAGCTTGTTTGGAATCCTGTTCTATAATAAATGTTTTGAAATAAATTAAGCTGTTGACTATTAACAAACCAGCATGCATTGAACAAAATATTTCTTTTTAATCAATATTTGGAAACTATTAATTATACCCTTTAAAATGAGAGACAGTTTTCTAGAATTTGGAGAAAAAGTAAACTGATTAGAATGTAGCTAATTTTCAGGTTATTGATAATTTCTGTACTGGAGTAAATATGTAATCTATGGTCCATTAATTGTGTTATAAGCTATGGTAATTTCATTATTCTGTTTGTCATTACCATTATTTTTCTGATCCATATATATATAATACACATATATGTATATATAATACAAATATATATATAATACAAATATATATATATATATTTCTAAATAAATAGGGCAATAAACTTAAATAATCTTCTGTCCAAATGTAAGCGCTAGATGAACTAAGGGCATTTAAAAATAATATTCCAGATTCTGCCTTCTAGGATTCTGACTCAAGAGATCTGGGATTGTATCACCTAACATGAAGTTTTCAAGCATGTAGTTGATTCTGATAGTGGAAATATATTTGGAAGACACTGATTCAGAATCCTCAAAATGACACACATTAAATATTTTTATTGTTGATTTGAATTATCTATACCACTCGTTATATTAATTAATATCGGTAATTGAATTGACTACATATACTTGAATTAAATATGCCTTGAAAATTAGAAAGTAACTGCTTATGTCTAAAATATCAGTATTATATTTCAGCCAATTCTAATTTCGTGTGGCATGTAATGCACTCAAACTATTTACATTAAATCAACTAATTTGATTTTGTTTTCTTATATTATTCATTAGCCTAACCAGAAAATTTCAAAGTTGGTTTATATTTGTCTTCATGAAAGTAAAGATATAGTTGAACTTATATACGTCTGTGTTTTTGTTTTCTGCTTGCAGGGTACAAGTTGAATTCTATATGAATGAAAACACATTTAAAGAGAGATTAAAGTTATTTTTCATTAAAAACCAGAGATCAAGTAAGTCATTCCTGTCATACCCCCTCTATTCTTTTGTACATAACTTTATCTCAAAATTCTAATTGTGCAATAATTTGTAAAATACTTTTATATAGAAGAATAAAAGTGGTAATCCTACTGGTGAGGCTGTAAAGTTTCGAAAGCCATATCTAGTGGTAGAAATGATCCTTAACACCTTCAGATCTCCAAATCCCTCATCAGTTAATAGACTCTTGCATGGACTATTGGGTTACGGGAAACATTGAAACAATAATTTGAGAGCGTCACACTTTTTAATAGTGAGGGACATCTAAAATATCCTTTGACAAAACTCTGCAGATTGCGGATTATAATGAGAATAACTTTCTGAGTTGATGAGAGAGAGTTTAGTGTTTCCCAGTCATGACTAATAATAACACACATCCTGAGTGCTTGGCAATAACAGATTCTCATTTTTGCTTCACCTGAAGAATTTAAATCAGCAAGTATAGGATGGATCGCATTTTAGCATCCATGATTATTATTATTATCAGATAAATTTGAGAAACACTGGAACTTCAAGAGCATGTAAAATTGGCATAGTCATACCTTGTTGAGCCTTTTCAGGATGGAAGTAGCAGTGATACTTGGTGACTCACCTTAATACCCCATATTTTAAGAAGCCTTCTTATAACAATACATGACTACTGCTTAAAACGCCCAGAAGAAATGAAGATGTCTACATTATATTTGTATAGACTTTAAATTCTGTGCTTCTGACCCTTGAATACACTTGGAGTGTTTTATATTAAGTAGTGTTAATAGAAAGATGCCTGACTTATGGGAAATTGTTTAAATACTTAATTCATGGATTACTTCCATACTAAAGACACACTGGACAGATATTCTTAATGACATACCAGCTTTATGTCTAAGGCTGATAATAATTACTGTCCTTTCGATTTGGTTGTTTTGAATTTCGAAGGAAATCTCATCAATAGATACTATGTAAAAGGGCTGTATCACCTGAATGGATGTTTTCCTCAATTTCTTTACTAAAAATCCTGTGCAGAGCAGAAAAGGTGCATGCTTTGTTTGAATACTCACTTGACTAAAGAGAAAGCCCATTTGTATAAAGGACAGTTTTATTAGTAGTCTAGGAGATTGTAATGAAATTAACCTACAAAATATACTTAGCATTTTAATAGAAGAGCCTAGGAAAATTACATAATTACGTATTAACCTTTTCAGTGTTAAGAAATGCTACAGGTACATTCATGTACGGCAGGGTTAAACAAAAAGTGACATTTCATTTCCAGGTGTCATTAGGTAATAAATACAGGAAAACATGTCTCAAGTCTTTTTCTAAATATATAAATCAATAACACTAGACACTTTCAGGGAAAGTAATGTTCCTATTGATCAGACTTTAAGAATATTTTACCCAACTTTAATTCCTCTGCTTCAACGTCAACTATTACAGTCTGCCCAATTGTGCCTTAAATAATTTAAAAGACATGTACACGTCGGTATCAAATTTTAAAGATTTTTAAGATTTAATTGGGATTTCATCTATTTAATGATAAGGTTCAATTACCAACTGAAAATGAAGTGTGTGTGTGCCTGAGTGAGGGAAAAGAGAGTGTTTCTCAGTATAAGCCATTTGATCTCTCTGTATTTATCATCAATATATAACACAGTTGTATCAATAGGACCTAATTATATAATGAATATATAACATGTAATTGAATAATTAATATGTACCATAATGCAATTATGTAATGAATATTTAAAATATTATACATGATTATATAGAAATAATTATAATTTCTCTGTAATCAAATCTGCAAGGTACTTAGAATATCCAAGATTTACCCTGTGAATGTAGAAGCTGCTAGATTTTCTAGCTAACTAAACTTTATCTCCTAATTCATACATATATATTTATATATATATATATACATATATAGATTTATATATATGTATATATAAGTGTGTGTGTGTGTGTGTGTGTGTGTGTGTGTATGCCTAAATTTATAAGTGTGCTTTAACATCCTTGGCTGAACATAAATTTTTTTGTACTTTTTGATTACTCAAACGTATCCTCTCAGTGTGTAATGTTACCTGCCATTTGTAGTTCATGCATTCTACCAAGTTCATTTTTTGCTTCAATATTCAGGTAATTAAAATTCAGCTACCAAGTATTTCAGTAAGTTTAGACAATTATAGTGCTGTAGTTTCTAAATACAACCGAAGTGCTGTTCTTACAGGTGATATTTTTGACAATGCTTTTAAAGCTTTTGCGAACTAAGTTCAGATGAAAATCAAATTTTTGTTGTTTGTTTAAAGGCCTAAGAATTCGCCTGTTCAATTTTTCTCTCAAATTATTAAGCTGCTTATTATACATAATCCGAGTACTACTAGAAAGCCCTTCACAAGGAAATGAATGGTAAGGTATCTTTTGTCTAAGATTCAACAGTATTTTCAAGAATTATTTTGAATTTATTACATTTTAAGGCCTGGTGTATAAGACTCATTTTTTTTCAGTGATGTTAGGTGTTTGTCTCAAGGTGATCTAGTTTTCATAAACATAATATTTGTAGGTTCTTTGTAAATATTTATTTTACTGTTTGTTTTTAATTATAATCCTGGACTCTGATTCATGAAAATGCCATTGCTTGTCCAAGTTCTGTAAATAATTGTTTAAAATGGGTCAGTCTCTTTCAAGACCAGAACGCCTTTTTGTTCTAGATTTACACGCACTTCCCAAAGTTTTATCTTATTATATGCCAGATATTGTAGATATTTTATAGATTTTACAGATATTTCAGTTATACTGCAGTAGATATTCTTGAATTAAAAAACTTCAGCATATATTGAGATGAATAACTTGTCTCAAGTTTCAATTTTAACAAAGCAATTCTTTGTCTTTTGAATGAAACGACCCTGACTTATCATTTTAAATTTTTTCATTCATACTTCTGTTGCTTTTATTGAATTTTATACCTATATATTTATAGACTTCCTTTTAATATCCGTCCTTTGCTCCAAACAGTAAGTTATATTCTGGGTGTGTAATGACATGGATAATGTTTTACCCCATCTCTATCCTGGACCCCTGTCCAACCTATGACATGTATAATGTTATTCCAAGCATTTGGATGATGAAATTTGATGATTAACTTCTTTACAACCCTTTTAATGTGTAAATTTCCCCTAAAATAATTACAAACTAAAAGGATGAAAATAAAATGGAAAAGTGAGTTCATCATATGCTATAAATATGAAGTGAATAGCTTTTTTATATAATAAAAAGAGTTTTGTGTTTATTCAAAGATTTGGAGAAAAGAAAGTAATAAGTAAAATTTTGTTCTGTAAAGATGTGTTTGATAATTATAATTTAATGCAACATAATTATACTTTACCATATTTTATTGAGTACTTAGCATATACCAACCATATTACTGTGAGTGAAGACAGAGCACTTTGTAAGAACAGTCAGTACATCATGGGAACTCTGAGTCCACGAAAAGCTTGCTTATTTTGGAGGTATCCTTGCTTCTTGGGATTCAATTAGTTGCTTTATGCATGTTATTTCCTTCAGTATACATTTAGATTATTTTGTCATATTAAGTATGAAGAAGGAAAGGTTTTCTCTTCTCCAGTCCATTTGGAGACCTTCAGAACTAATCTTGTTATGCCTTTTATCTCTGTTTTTAATTCAATAGTCACAGATTCCTTCCCCCAAATTCCTGCTGACATATTCACCTTCTCCACTTGGATGTCTAAAATGTCTTCCAGATTCGCCGTGTTTCCGTCGGCTCCTGGGTTCTTTGACATCTCGATGAATGACAATCCATCTTTCTTTCCGGGTCTTGTTCTCATAGCCTTTCCCATGTCTGCTGGTCACAGTCCGTTCTAAGTTTCTTGGGCTACATGTGTTGGAGTCAGTTTTAACTTCTTTTTTTTGTCTGGAGTTCATGCAAACACCTGAAAGAATTCTGTCATTTCTACCTTCAAGATAAAATCAGAGTAGAGTCAGTTCTCAGTACCCCTTCCCTTCCTGATGCACGCTATCTCCCGTCACCTGGATGATTGTCAGAACCTCTCACTTGGTCCTGCTAATTCTGCCTGTGCTTCCTTTAAGTTTATTAACGTGGGAGTTCACTCTCGATGCACATCTGCTTCCGAAGTCAAAGTGCTTACCCTGGCCTGTAAGAATTTCTGTCCTCTCTTCTCTTCCTGCTACTCACCCTGACCCATTCTCCACTGGTACATGGTCTTCCTCTCGGGATCATGTCAGGTGTGGGGGCTTTGCACAAGCTTGTCCCTCTGTCTGCCTTTCTCACACATCAAATCACATAAGACATCCTTTCTCAGATCTTCACTCAAAATCACATTAGGCATTCTATAGCCAGTTGTAATCTCAGAAGACCTCTTTGATTGTCTTTAATTTTTTTCTTTTTACTGCAGTACCTTTATCTCTCACACATATATCATGTATTTTATCTGGTTAGCTTTCTGTGTTTCCCGTGAATAACAGATTGGACATAATGGAATGGATCATTGAATTCTCACAGCCTAGCATACGAAGACAATAGTTATTTGCTGTATGGATGAGTGAACAAATGCTCAAGTGAAGTTCCTTATTAATGTAGTCTTTTCTTACCTCATTCTCTAGCCTTCTACTTCAGCCTTGCTGATCTAATTAAAGCCACATATGCTTATTTTGCTCTCCCTTGTCTCTGGGCTTATTCTTGGACACAAGTTTTCCATCCGTGCCCTTCGTGGCACCTCTTGTGTTGACTTCAGCACTGCTGGACCTTCTTGATATCAGTTTGTTGGGTAACACTTAATCTGAAACTCTTAGCGGCATCACACCCTGAAGGCCAGTTCTGACTCTGGGTTAGGAGTACTGTATGAGTGTTGTCTGAATATCCACGCATACGTCTCTTATAACATCTAGACTACACATTGTATTTGCCTCTGTGGCTCTCACACTTAGCATGGGACTTGATGGGTCAACAAATGCTAAAGTAATGGAATTATACCCACTAATTAAGGAGTCATTCTTATACAGTGAAGATGATTGAAGACCATGGCTTAGAGACACCAGCGTATGTTACATTTTTCTATTTGGTATTAAAAATGGAGCACATAATAAATTATTGTATAAATATTCCAGGATTTTTCTAAGTTAAAGATACACTACAGGACTGGGGATTTAGTGCAGTGGTTCCGCCGCCTGCCTTGAAAGCTCAAGGTTCGAAGTTTGATCCCTGGTAACAAAAAATAAAAAGAAAAAAGATAGACTAGAGAGACCCACAGATGTACTAGAGAGACTCATAGATCATAAAATTCTGCAAAAATTTTTTCAAAAGAAAAAGTGCACATGTGAGTGATAGAATAGTATTCTATTATTTGAAAACATTAAGAGGAATAAAGTTACCTACAGTTAATGTCCATGTAATATTATCAGGAATATTCAGACATAATTACAGAGGATATACATTTGAAAAATCAGATTACTGTAATTAAAAAACATAACAAACTAACTTATGGCTCCATTTTGAATGCAATGTTCTGTTTAGTTCCCATTATCCATGCAGTTCTGGTTAATGAAAAACAGAAGTGGCCTTTATGGGCACAGGCTCTATTTTAAAATAATGAGTCTAATTCTGCAAAGAGATTTATTTAATTAGAGCTTCTGACATGATAAAGCTGCAGATAATTTGTGCAGCTTTGCCATATTTTTATGTTCCTCCTAAGAATAAAAACCTATTGGAAAAAAGTTGTGGTAAGGATTAGCTGAATAATATGAAATGATTTTACTATTGATGTCTGACAACGTTTAAATGGCAAACTTTGTTCACAACGTGTAGTAAGGATTTAAAGATTTTAGCCATTATTGTGTTACACCATACTGAGAGACGTCAAGATTGACTCCTGTCTTGCTGATGCGTGCAGTTCTTTACTCTGTGTCAAAACTCATGCACTCATTTCCACTTTAAAAATTATTAAGGTGATTATTTTTTGGCGCATTCTATTCATAGAGTCAAAAATAGGAAGCCCCTGAATGTTCTTTTATTTTATAGTATTTAGACTTGTATCTAAGATCAAGATCTAGTATAGTAACTGGTGTGTTCAGATAATATTAAGCTTTTTAAAGATATCCTTGCTTTAGGATAAGAGTATTTGAAAAATAAATTGAGTTTTGACAACATTTATAAAATACTTTGTGAACTATAGGCAAGAATGTCATAATGTAGAATTTTTCTTCTCTCATCTATATTGGGCACTGTACAGATTCAGGTAGCATCAAGGCCTCTCCATTCAGTCTTAAAATTTAGGGTTTTTGTTGTTGTTTACCAAAGAATTTCATTCTGGTGTTCCTGGTCATCGTGGACCGTTGTCCTTACAATCACACACAAATACACAACACACACACACACACACACTTTCTATAACATGTCTGCAGACCACTTGCATTTTGTCCTAAGGCCTGGGTCTTTTGTATCCAGCTTTCAGAGAGTGGAAAGCACGAAGAATATACATTTACTTTAAATATTCTTAGCAAATGAATGATACCTGTGACTTTTACTAGAATTTCATTACTCAGGTAGCAAATCCAAACCAGTGCATCCACACGCTTTGACACTGTGAAATGAAGTCTGGTCGCAGAGCATTTTCTGTTCTCAGCTCTGCGCCAGGGAGAGGAAGGATGAATGTTGACAATTAGTGAAAGCCCCTCCACTACCATCGTGTAAGCCTAGTGCAAGCCGAAGGCTCTGTCTTCGTATCCGTTTCCTTCAGCAGTCCCTGTTTAGAGCTCTCCTCATTTTGTACTCACTTGTCCACACTGGGGTTGTGTTTTCAGTTTTTGGAAGGGATTGAGTTACTAAAAATCTTCCTAATACATTTGCTGGATTCTTTGATCTTTCATTGTCCCGATGAGCCTTTTTGGACACATCCTAAATGTATTTTGCTCATCTTGAAATGTGGGTCTAGTACTATACTGAATGCTCAAGTTCCTGTTGTTTGTTATGATTAGGAGAAAGACTTCTATATATTACAAAACTTATTTTCATGATAAGATAGTCCAGAAAGCCGTGATAACATCTTGTAAAGGCTAGTTCAAATTTTAATTATCTGTGGTATCTCTGTAGAATATTAAAATAATATTCTAGACATTTTAAAGATGAGTACACGAACTACAATCCAAAACCCACTTATTTCTAATCACAGGGGCAAAATAGCAGTTGAACCTCAATACTGAGGTTTTAGTTTGGAAAACACAATTCATACATTAACATCTTTTATCTTAAAAGAAAAACAAATAACATGTGTGCCATGGATTCACCACCACTCTTCTCTACCAACAAAAATGTCTCCAGTTCGATATAATTAGATCTTCATAAGTTGATATTATTACTAATTCCCTTTCAAACTACTCAAAAATCAAGTTATTGCAGTAGTTTCTAATTTTCCAGGTACTGATATCTACTTACTTAAAAGATTTTATAGCACATATATTTTTCATCTACAGAAAAACTGAATATATATTTTTCTTCATTCTGAGATATAAGAAAATCCCTTGGAAGGACAGCCATGGGTTTTGTCTTGACTGGCACCATCATTTATACTGACCACTCTATAAACTACTATATGTTTGTACTCGGCAAGACACTGTGTTGATAACAGTGGGTAAAGGCATATGATTTGCTGTCATAGCATTTGTAGTTTGGGAGAAGACTGTCATTAAATAAATGGTTTCCAATAAACATAGTCTCAGCTGAGATGAGCAGCAAGACAGCTGCAGCAGATGACGTGTCCTAAAAGATGAGTTGAACACAACGAAGAAGTGGAAAACTCAGAAAAGTTTGAGCTGAGAAACAGAGGATTCAGCTGAGAATTGTAGAACAAGGGAAGAGCTGGTAAAAAGGAATAGTCGTAGAAAGGATCACGGTATACGTGAATAAGGGTAAGAATGCCAGGTCAAACAGTTTGTTTTTTTGCCTCCCCAAAATGTTCACCGCTAATGCACAATGGAGTGATGCGATCTAAAATGAATTTTGGAAAAAAAACTGTCATTGTACATCAGAGAAAAAACAAAACAAGGCTGAAATGAGGGGCAGGGCTCTCATTTGTAGGTTTTGTGAAATGTCAAGTTGAAAATAGGGGAGCTTAGAGGAAGGTGGTTTTAGTGATAAGAAGTGGATATTTCTTGGGAAGAATTGAAAAAATTTGTATCAAGCATTTATAGATGGATGAGAGGATAGGATCTAAGGTGTTGCTTGAGGTTTTCGGTAACCAGACACCGTGGATTTCGTGTCATTGAGATATGAAAAAGTGAAGGAGAATCAGTTTTGGAGAGAAAGGGTACAGGTTTTGCTTGAAGAAAATAAAGATGTTACTTAAATGGACAGATGTGACATTCTGAAATTCCAGAATGTTAGTCTAATATACTAAAATGTGTCTTTGAATAGTCTTGCAAAGTTTTATCATTCTTTTTAAAACAAAACAATTGGAAGTTTTTTGTTCTTTGTTATTAACATATTATGAAAAAAATTACTTAAGCACCTGAAAATGCACTTGATTCTTCATGAGACTCTATATTTGATAACTATAATTAGTGGGTGGCTTTTATGTTTGGGAATTTTATTTTCTTTTATGGGGAAAGAAATGTGACGGTTTTCACCTTTTGCATGAGTAGTGAATATTGACTGCTAATGACTCCCATTTGAATCAAATACAGTTACAATTGGTGGGATATTAAAATTGTTAGTTTTCTTTATTTACATTTTGAATTGGTACTTTTAAAAAAACCTTTAAAACATTAGAATCTATAGCAGTTTATTAGGAGACTTTTCAGTGGCAAAAGCATTTGATATTTTTCCACACTACCATATCATTTTTAACTAATTGCCCATTTTACTTTTATTAATTAACAGTGACAAAAATTAAAAAGGGTTTTCAAGTTAGAAATGAATGTTAGTAAAAAGAAAGCTGAAAAATAAAGCTTTTTGTTTATATATTTTTTGTGTTGTCATTATTTTAATACTTAAGTTGAATGTTAAAGGTGAATTAATTTTTCACACCTTTATAAAACTAACAGTTTCTCATTCTTTTTACAGGTCTCACATCTTCTGGGTGAACAGAAGCCTACCTTTATGGGGCTTACAGGTTATGTATGATTTTGTTTGATCCCTATATTTCTGTGATGATTCATATTTCACAGAAATAATATTGGCGAGAAAAGAGCTGATACTCAAAATGAGATTTCTTTACTTAATCTTCATGTATATTTTATGCTAACATTTTTATTTGTTTCTTCACATTTTCCCAAGCCCTGCATTTTACTTTGTGAAAATTTTCTGGTCATCAGGATTCTACTGCAGACGGTGTTCAAGAATGTGAAATCAACTAGTGTTTTAAGGCTCCATATTTCCAAGCCACCTTACATATTCCAGTGTATTATGCCTTTAAAATTATTCAATAGCTCACAACCATGTTTACGTTTTACCTTATATCCCCATTCGAGCATAACAGGACTCAAAAAAATGTTGTTAAATGAGCAAATGACTTACACCATCAGTTGTCAGTTTATTTGCTAGGATAAGAGGAAACTATTTCCATAGTTGATATCCTATGAGATACCTGTGGAAATAAAATAAAAATGTGTTCTGTCATGAAAGGAATCTTTAGGAAAAGAGTGAGAATATATAACAGAGACAACACATCTGAATGATACTGTGAAGGGGTTCCCTAGAGTTCTCTTTACTTCTTTGTTACTTTTTTCTATTGCATTTCATCCCCAGTGAACTTGTAATAATGTACCCTCTCCTTCTGTTTACCACTTGTAAGTCCTCTTTATTTTATTTTTTAAAGTAAAAATTAACTGAAAAGATCTTTGGAGGAATATGAACTATCTTGACAACACTTTTAGATCAGATATTTGCCTTTTGATGTTATGATGATTATACTGTCTGCACATTTTATTTGTGAAAGTGCAGTATTTTAAGTATGCATTGTGATCATAGCTATGAAATCAAGTTTTGCTATGTCTGGGTAGTTCATATTTTGTCGAAGTCATGTTTCATGTTGAAATATACTTACTGATGTTGCAATGTGGTATTAATATACAAACTTTCAAATATTTAAGATTTCGTGGAAAGTGTCTTTTCACCTCTGAGCTATATTCATCAATAAATTACTATTTTATTATTACTCATGTGCTATTATTCTGATATACACCTTGATCTATTCACATTGCTTTTATTTAATAATACTATTTTAAAATAATAATCATTTCCAAAAAGTACTTTGAATGACATGCTACAAATGTTCGGGGTTAATCTCGCGATATGTACCTCTAGCAAACAGCACAGATGATTATGATTTAGAGGATATGTGGAGAAAAGCAATGAAATTTATGTTTCCTATCAAAATACTAATGCCTAACTACTGAATACACATCTGAAAATAATTTACCTAAACTGGTAAATGCAGATCCATTTTTATTTTTAATAATTACTTAAATTCAGTTTTGTTTTCCTCATTGAGTTTATTGGTACATTTTAGGTGTACAGTACAGTTACCTTCATCATTGGGATCTTGTACCTTTACATGACAGGTCTTGTTTCTCATTTTTTCCCTCATCCCTGCCCTCCCTTCACCCCCTCTTCCCTTCCCTATTTACAAATACTTTATTTCCATTTTTTTATTTTATGATATTTTCCTTTTCCCTTATTATAATTCAGTTTTTATTCCAGTAAGAGATAAAATTTAAAATCTGTGGGATCTGTTTTTTCTCACTGAGATTGCCTTAAACCAATGGTAGTGAAAATATGGCATGCATATTATTTGTTTTTCTTTTAAGAGAAAAGATATTAATGTATGAGTTATTTTTTCTAAACTAACCCTTAATATTCAATTTTAATAGTAGTGTTACCACTGTGAGGAGAAATACATGAGTTTTGAGTTGCAGTTTGAGTACTTGTCTCTAAAAGGCTCATCATCGCTGCCCTAAACCTTAAAAAAATCTGTAGAAAATATTTATTTGAATTCAAAAGTGCATCGTTTTTCCTATGGAAGCCTGAAGTTTATCCATCTTTGTGGCAGAGTTGTGCTCCATCGTTCATGGATATCACATTTTCTAATGTTTTGTGAAATGAATGAGACACACAAGCTTTAAAATCCTATGGTTTCTCTTATGTAAGAAACAAAATACAAGATAGGTCTTTTAGCAAATGAGAAGGGGACTAAGAGATGGAAGGTGAGAAGGGAAGGGGTGCTGACATAAGAAGAAGTAAGGCGTCCGTATCCGTGTACCAGCTCCTCACAGGGACTGCACTGATGATGTACCACAGCGTATGTTAGGTCAAGACATTCATTTGAGCCACATTCTATTTATGCTTCCCTATTGATTCTATCGATTTAATGGGAATTAGCATATTTAACAAGGAATAATTTCTGTATTTTGAAAAACTTCTGTTTGCAATATTTTTATGGTAGTTGCACAAAAGAATTGATGATTTGGTGATAGAGTTCCCTCAAGTAAAATGTGAAAGCCTCCTTAAGTACTGATTTGTAATACTTTCTTTATTAAGAATGTTCTTATTTTATTTTATTTTATTTTGAGTTGGATGGTAGGATTGCATATACTCAATTTGAAACTTGTTTTCTTTGTTTTCCATATTTTCTCAAGGGAAATGGTCTTTTGGGATTGGTGTTTCTGGGTAATGGCATTTCTTTTTGCAAGAACAATTATGTGTGATTGTGTGTGCTATGAACGTACTCACAAAGGAATCTGTTCTTTACGTATCACTCAAACTCCAGCCTGTTTAATTTACTCCCACCTTTAAATCGGGGATAATGATAAAAAGGACTTGTCAAGGATTCTAGAAATTATAATGACTAATCTGCAGCATAAAGGGCAGCCATCAGTGACCTACAGCCTGTCACATTGTTACAGATGCTTATGTGTTCATACTGTCTGTGTCATGTGTATGTGTCTCAGAAAATGACAGTTGTGTGTATGTTCATGTCAAATTGACAGTGTAAACCGTAACTTTTGATTTATTGTATTTTCTCATTAAGTATCACTTTGCATTTTAGGTCTCAGTGGCATTGATCAGCCTATTTGAAACTCTGCTACTTGGTTATCTCAGTTATAAAGTAAGTTATTTTAATTAACAATTTTCTACTGTGAACCTCACTGCTAGCAATTACCAACTGTTCTGTTCTTTATAATTCATGCTTGGAGCTACAGCAAACTCTTCTTAAACCACCTTAATTATTTTGAGCCTCTCCAGTATGTGATTAAAAGCTATGGTAATATAGTAAGTTTTCCTTGATGACTTAAAAGTACCTCACTGGTCCCTGTGAGTTTTCTTGTCCAGTACATGCGTGCTCAGAGTGAGACGAGCCAGTGAAGTAGTCTAGCTTTTTATTGTTCTCAATCTCTTTTCCCAACCTTCACAAAAAATATTGAGAAAGCAAAACTATTCCTATTAGGAATTATTTTAATAAGATAACTTAATTGCTGACAAAGTTTCATTTGGCTCACACAATTTAACAAACATTTATTGAGCTTCTTTTGGTGAGCGCTTCTGTTGATTGAGATCTTCCCTTCGTATGGCTCTTTCTCAGTGAGTGTATAATCAAGAAAGGGGGAAATCTGTATAGATAACTATAAGGCTGAATGTGAGCAGTGCTTTCTGTGAGGTGTAAATTCGGTGCTGTGTGGGTTTATAGAGAGCGGTCATATCAGAGGATGCAGAGGAAATACTTGACTGACAAGCAGAGGCCTTGCATTATAAGGATGTTAATAAGGCAAGAGAAAAATGCCTTGACAGTCAGGGTTGATAGAAAGAGTAAAGAGATAGAGGAATGCACAGGTTCATATGAAGTGGAGAAACAGTAAATACGACAGCTCGCCTATTCTATGGAATTCTTGTATGGCAATATATAATGGGAAATTGAACATAAAATGAGTATGAGAGTTTTTCAGCAGAAAACCAGTTTTAGGAATATTAGTTTGGAACTTCTGCACATTACAGGTACGAAACATCACAGCGATGACCATGTGCTCAGATATGGCACCCTACGTTACAGAGTTTTTGACTAGGTGAAATGAGTTGCTAGATGTGATGAAAGATTATGAAGGTAAAGAGATAAAGAAATCAACTTACTGAGATACATCAGGGAAAGGAAATTCAAATGCCATTTTGAAAAGTTTTAGGAGCCTGAATGATTGGTAATGTGGTAATACAACTTAAGAGAGAAGAATATAAAGAAACAAATGAGGACGAAGTCCAGATTGGCAAAATGATAGAATTGATTTTGGAGATGATGAATTTGAGTTACTGGTGAATAATAGGAGACCTGTGACGTGTAAAAAAATTGAGAAGGTGATTCAGGAACTGTGAAGGAGTGATTTATTAGTATTTGGCAGTCACTCTCACAGAGATGTTAGCGAAATCATGAGAATTTTTTGCATAGGGCAATCACCACGGTAGAAACTAAGGCTCATAGTGATGTGGATGCTTTGTAGGAGGAACCTAGCAATCAGGGAAGTCACAGAACTAGACAAAGGAGTTAGAAAGCATTACTTTCACTGTTTTTTCATCAATATCAACAAGTGTATTTAAAATTATGCCTTTGAGAATCATTTGTCTAACATATCAATTACTTTTGTACTTTCTAAAACATAGTATTTGAGCATCCATTTTTCATTACTAAATTTATAGCGAAATGTTTTGACAAAGTCAGTATTTTTGCCTTAATATTTTTTTTTGTTTAATTCTCATTTTTTTCATGTACAGAAAGTAACACCAGTTTCAGTGAATTGAAGGTTGGTGCCTAAGTGTAGACGGAAAAGACTGAGACTGTTATGAGATTGCTGAAATATTTATGAAATATTTATGTGTTAGAAATGTCACAGGAAGAAATTACGCAGAAATTATGTGAGCTCTAGTGATGTACAAAGAGTGAAAGAAGCCATTGAGTTTAGAAATTAAGAGGCGATTTGTTTTCCATCTACATGAGACCGGTTTCAATGAGAAAGAACTGAGAATACAAACTGTCATGTGGAGAATGCTGGGCCACTGGGCCAAGGGCTTGTGAGAAGCAGAAGAATGAAGCAGGGGTGGTTTTCCGATGATGGAAGCCATCTGCATTGGTGCGGAAGATGTAAAGTTCATGAAAAGTAAGAATAAGCTGGAATAAAAATCCGAAATTGAAGAATTAGCTTTGGAAAGCCTTTATTCTCTTTGAGAGTACAGAAGATCATAAAAGATAAAGGAATATTTTTAAACTAGTGTAGGAAAATGAAAGATAAAAGATCTTAGTAATCATATAGATCTAATATTAACCACACATACTAAAATTAGTTTTAAAGTACTGGTTATTTTATAAGGTGTATAGACTTTAGAATCTTCTAATGTTTCATTAGATATCTCTTTGTTATAATTATGTAATAATTGACAAACCTTGATTTTAGCTGCCTAACAAAACAGAACAAAATAAAACAACAAAAACCAACTAAATTAAAATCTCAGATATTTTTCTTTTAGATTCTTTACTATGCAGTACGTGGTGAATGTTGAATATAATGTACACAAAGTAATATATTTTAAAAATATCATCAGACTTTTTTTGTGTGTGTGTGGTAGTGGGGATCAAACTCAGGACCTTCCACTTACAAGACAAGCATGGTGCCATTGAGCTAAATCCCCAGCCCAGACATGTGGATTTTTATGGGAGGATTATCAGTCCTCTGACTGCCTAGGAAGAATGGCCAGGACTAAAGAAAGAAAGACAATAAAGACTTGCATAATTCAGAGTACGTGGCTGGCCGGGAGGTCAGTGCCTCAGAGTGGGCAAAGAGAAAAACTCTCCAAACCAGCCATGGCTTACAGGGTGCACACAATAATCGGAGGGAACATCAGGTGACACAGGGTTGGCGGTAACCCTATGTGGATGAAGATCTTATGCTGATGAGGATCTTAAGTCATGAGGATTTATGTCGATGAAGGTGTAAGGAGAGCATTCTTATGACAATAGATGGGAAAGAAGTTGTCCCTCCCCTGGTGAAACCTTTCTCTTTTTTGATTACTAATCGGTTCTTGAAGAACCAGGATGTCTTCAGCTCAGGTACACTTGCCCTTGAGCTTCACAGGAAACATGACATCGATCCTTAGATAACTATAGTCATATTTTAATTATGAAATGATTTTTTTCCCTAACATATATGTAGAATGGCTTTCTATAGGGTTTTGAGTAAATGAGTTATGTCTCCTTGCTAGTAGACTATTTGTAGAAACATAATATTGCCAAAATATTAATCTTCATTTGTGAATGCTTTGCTCCACGTTTTACAAGCAATATGAGACTAACTTTGATGTTTTGCTAATAGAACTCTTTGTGTTAATTTAAAAAGTCATTTATAAAACATACACAAATTCAAGGTAATTTTCTAGTGCAACTATAATCTGATGAAATTTATAATTATTTACTTCCTATTATTTATAAAATGAAAACAATATTACAGAATCTTAGCATGCAGGGCCGCATGATATAAAATGTTTCTGTTCTGACCCTCATGATGTGCTTCATGTTGGAGAGGTAAATGATAAAGTTCATTGAATTCCAAAGGAAACAGAAATGACCAAAAGGAGTTTGTGACAGCAGGACTAATTGCTGTTAATTATCTTCTTCTTTCATAAACATAATAATAAATTCTTGACTTATTTTGACTTCTTTCATGAATTATTGGATAACTTTTTATAATGTATGAATTAAGTAACTGGTAAGTATTTAGGGCCTATAAATAAGACACATTTGGATAGCAGAATCTAAAATGTACAGTTCTTTAGCTTTTTGAGAAAAATAATACAAAGGCTTGCAAAAGTGGATATCACATTGCATTTAACATTTTATGTTTCTTATATTCTTCTTTACCGAGAGTTCTGAAATACCAGCTTTAATGGCACTTTGATACACTTCCTTAAATTTTGCATATATACATATAATGTTTATTTTTAATATTTTAACATCCCTTAGTATAATATTATGCATGCATTTTAAATTTTTGAAATTAGACCTTCTAAAATCAGTGTGACAATTCTGAAACCATTCAAACTCTCAAGGATACCCAGAATGAAATTTGCCGAAACTTAAAGTCCATCTAAAGTTTGCAGATAAAGAATCCAAATCTGTGGCATCAACCAGTTTCATTTTCTGTGACACAGAATTGTAGGTCTATGCTTAAATAATCTTTTATTTGTGTGTATAGCTAGCTGGCAGCGCGATCACACTAATCTCTCAGCACTAAATTTCCTATTCTTCTGTCACCACAAATACTGTTATTGTTTACCAACTGCTTTCAAAATAGAGCTCTATTTATACACATGTATTCATTAAATCGAAGGGAAACAAAAACAAGCTCCAGCGTCGTTTACAACCTCTGCAACCAAAAATTCTTCGCACCTAAGAGGCTTTTGTTAAATCTCCAATTATTGTTCCCATAATCACTTTAGGAAGAGTAACAATTTTGAAAATTTAACACCTTTGTGACTTATTTCTGGAAAACAACAAAAGATTTCATCTGGGAATCTCGGATACTCCTAGTCTTGATTGTGTTTCACTCTGCTCTGAAACGGGGAATGTAAACATTCTTGAGTTTATGGTTGGTGCCTCAGGCTTACTTTATCTTATATTCATTTAAAGGCGGTAAGTTATCAACCTTTTTGCATTAACCGTGTTCAACACAGATATTCTTAGCATTTACTAATACAGAATTTATAACATGTCCCCTTTAGTCCAACTTGGGCTCAAATGACTAAATTGCCCTAACTCCTATCATGTTTAAAGTGCCTTATAGAGCTACTTACGTAGTAGTTCCAAGCTTCTTCTTTGCTTGATGATAAAAATAAAATCTAATATATTTTAGATTATTTTATTACTTTTGAATTGGGACAAAGTTAAGTTCATGCTTAATGTAAAATGATTGGATTAAAGTTCATTTATATTTAATTAAGTTCTGACAAAAAGAGAATATGAATACCATACACTTAGAACTGATAAAACTACTCTTTTAAAACTTTTTCAAGAAGTTACCTTTCTGAAGAAGATTAATGCTTTTTATTTCTGTGACCGAAAAGCTTTAATGAAATAAATATTTAATATAATTTTTAAAGGCACTGTTTGTGCTTTCTGTATTTTTTTTTTTTTTTTTTTTTTTTTTTTTTTTTTTTTTTTTTTTTTTTTTTTTTTTTTTTTTTTTTTTTTTTTTTTTTTTTTTTTTTTTTTTTTTTTTTTTTTTTTTTTTGCTACCAGGGATTGAACTCAGGTCCTTGTGTTTGCCAGGCAGGCCACCAAACCGCTGAGCTAAATCCCAGGCTCTGTGCTTTCTGTATTTTACTTCATTGTTTTCTACATGGTAGCATTCTATGGATGGATGCTCTTTTTATTGTAAATTTGTTTTATCTTGTGGATTTTTATGATATAGGTCTGTTGAGTCTTCATCATGGGCAATAAAACTTATGGATCTATTCTATATTTATTTTTCATTAGCTATTTTTAGGAGAGCTAATATATGAGTGTATCAGTTAGTTCAGAAGATAGTCTGAGATTTGAGAATTAAATCTAGTGAGTGTAACTGAAAATATATACCTTTATTTTCATCAATAAGCATGTGGTTCATCTGTACACTTTTGGACAGTAGAGAATTAGTCCTCAATATGATGCTCATTTCCTTACCTCAAGCCACACAAGAAAGACCACACAGGGACGCATGTGTTATGATTCAGCAGTAGGATGACTGACATATTCTAATAATATGTTTTATTTAGGACCTTCAGCTTGTCAAACACTGAGCTAACAATGAGGCATATCATTGTGAACTATGCTGGTACTGTTTATCACCTCATGGCATTTAATATCTAAAGCTATAATATGTCAGTTATATAATATAAATTGAGAGAAGGGATTGAAAGAAATTGGTGGACAATCACAAAGCCTAGATTAGACCTTAGAGTCAATGTGATGACGGCATGAGACAAGTCTCAAAAAATTCAGAAGAAATTAAGTAGAGAACTGAGTTAAATATACAAAGTGAAGTTGAAAAGGAAAGAGAGTATTTTTCAAGCTTTTTGAAGGATGGTATTCAAAGAGATTTCTTTGAAGAGATATTTTGAGGGCCAAAAGTGCTTTGTGGGAGAAATGCCCTTTAAAATAAGGGTAGAAAGGTCAACAAGAACCAAATGATATAGTGCCTTGTAGGTTAAGTTGTGCAAGGATTTTTGTCTTTTGTCAAAGTGTGAATGATTCAAGTGTTTCAAAGTGATCAGAAATTGAGAGTGGTGAGGTCACATTGGATTGGTGCATTAAATGCAGCTTTTGAAATACAATCTTCATAATAGAAAGGATAAATTAGAGTAGGCTAACAATGAAGGAATAAATACAACATAATTAGGAGACTTTGACTAAGTCAAAGATAAGAGTTAAACCATAATGAAAACTAGAGAACCACAATATCAATTTGGAAATCAATTTTGGACAAGTCATACCTCGGAGCATGTGAACCTACAAAGGTTGTCTAAAGGATATTTGGTTTGTGTGACTGGAAGACCAGTATTGGAACAAAGAACAAGTTTTGAGTACATTATATGGAAGGTACTCCTTAGTACTCAGTGTAAAAAGCTGGTTTAGACAGTTGATCTGAGTCAGAGTTTGAGAGGTAAGCAGATAGAATACTGGAAATCATAAGCTTATTATGATTGGCGATAAAGCAAAGATGAAAATATCTAAATGGTTGTACAGTATAGACTAAAAATTCTTGTAAGCCTTCCCTCCAAAAATTTCTATTGAATTCTGGTTACAAGTTTAATGATTTATTCATAAATGCATTCAGGAAGGTTTTAAGCAATGAAATGATTCCCATTTGGAACCATTGTAAAAGGATATAAATGCTTAATTTCAAAATATGAAACAATTATATTAAAATGGCTAGAAGACGTCTACAATATTTGGAAGATACATTTATCATTTATATACTTTACCGGGCACTGAGTGTATAAAGAAATAAGTTCCATAAAGTTTTACAAGTACTTGCCAAGGAGATTATGAGAAGGCATGAGAGTAAGACACTTTACCCAGAGGGGGAAATGTGGACACATTTATAAAAGTATACCTTGTGTAAAAAAATATAAAAGTCTGTCTTATGCCAGGATTGCACAGAGTGCAGGGTGTATTAGTCTGTGATCAGATTGGGAATGAAATACTGTAAGTACAAGGCAGATCAGTGGCTAGAGTTCAAATTGTGAAGCTTTATGTAACATAATGAAGAATTTGAAGTTTATTATCTTCATGATGGGAATTTGCCATTAAAATGAATACATTGCCTTTAATATGAAGGATAAATTGGAAATAAAACAAGCCTTGTCAGATACCAGTTATAAGACTTTTTTGATTCAAGAAGACTCATTTAGCAAACTAATATATTTTTCATGGAAATGAGAAGAAAACCATGCAATATATAAAAGATTTTCACTTATCATGAACTAAATTTACCCACTGTGTGACAGTTGCTAAAAAAGCTAACACTAATTTTGCTGTGTACTAATAAAAATATCCTTCTATATTATCAATAGTAACTATTCTTTTTTCCTTACTTTGTTTGCAAGTTATCAATCACTTTTTTGTGGTCACTGGTATAATGGTCAGTAAAAATACAAGGAAAGAGCAAGCCAAATGTTAAGCATCATGACCACTATGCCATGTAAACTCTGATAAAAGAAGCAGTATCATTAACCTGCATGATTGAAAAGTGGCATGACTAAAGTCAGTTATAACCAGTGTATTAGATGTTCCTGATTTAGTGACAGGAAGTTAAAATTAGTCTTCTCAAACTTCTTCAAATCCATGCTAATCAGATAAAATGATCAGTATACGCAAACATTCTCATCTAATGAGGCTTTAGTTTGTTCTCAGTTCAGATCCACATGGGGCTGAGAAGCATCACAGGACTATTTTCTATTTGCATTTCCTGACATGTTTTGATGCCAAATGATTTGAGGCTGAGGAGGGGCTGGAGTGAGGTGCAGTCGCCCTCTGCAGTGAGGCTGAGTGTGCAGTCCCACTAAGCAGCCACCAGGGTTCCAACACAGACTTTGGTTTCCTGAGACCCACCGCCTAGCAGAGTAATGTTTCATCTTCAGATAGGCACAATCTTTCTGAGTGTACTCAATGTAAAAAGAACTACAGTTTCCATTCTTTGAATGTCTTTTCATAAAACGTGCTTGTGTCTGAAAATTGGAGGAATTGTGACTTTTTCCAATCTCAGCTCTTTTTTTTTCCCTTTCCCCATTTTGCCTCGTTTTGGTGTGAGCCAATTATAGTAGCATGCCTAGGCCGAGCAAAGTGAGTGATTCCTTTGAGTCTTATCACTGAGGTCAGGGCAGTGGGAGAAGCAGCAGTGTACCTCTTACAGCTTTTTTATGCAGGGGTATTCTTCTCACTGTCCCCCTTCCCTCCACTTGCTCTCTTCTGTACTGCTTTTTTAGATAACTAGATTACCTAAAAGGGTGATTAACTGGTGCTTGCTTTGGGATATGGTCTGGTGTTACACTAGTGTATTGTTTTAATCCACTGGGCCCTGAAGGAACATTAAGAATGATTCCAACTTTTAAGCAGTTGAAATAAGACAATTGGAAATTATGGGAAAGCCAGACTTCCAATTGCTTTTGCAATGCTTAGATCTCCTCATAGAAGAATAAACTGCGTCAGGAAATTCTGAGTTCTTCATCAGTGTATACTGTATTAGTCTGTTTTCTGTTCTTATAACAAAACACCTGAGGCTGGAAGCTTCATAAGGAACAAAAAGGCTTGTTTATCTCAGTTTGGAAAGTTCAAGATTGAGTGGCTGTTCTTGTTTGATGTGTGGTGTGGTCCTCATGGCAGATGATATTCCAAAAGTAGTAGTGTGTGCAGAATAGATCACATAGGGACACAGGAAGCCAGAAATATTCAGAGGCAAGTTGTTTTTTCTAAAATCCTGAACAGCAACTTACTGGGGGGTTACAAGCACTATATTAATTTATCAAGGGTGAACTCCATGACCTAATTACCTCCCACTAGTCCCTACCTCCTAAAAGTTCCACCATCTCTCAGTGTCACCACACTGAGGACCAAGCATCCAGCAAACAAACTTTCTATAAGACACAGTGAATATATGTTCCACGCATGGAAGACACCATTTAAGAATGTTTCATTGATAATCTGTTACTATCAGGATGAGCTGCCTGGGCCTGGGCTTTGTGTATTTGCACAATATTCTAATATTCTAATGCACCCTCTGGAAATTGTTAAAAACTTATTAATAAAAGACCTCATACATTCATTTTGAATGGGACCCTTCAAATTATGTATTTAGTCCTAATAGTGTACTTTGTGGGTTGGGAGATTGGAAAAAGCTCTTTCTTTAAATTTGATTAGAATAAAACTACAAACACTAAGTATTGTTTTCAAGCATGAGTGTTTTACAGACTGCATAATATATTTTATAGTGGGTAAATATAATTATAGTGCAAAAGACTGAGTCACTCCTTAATTGATGCTGTATATTTTGTCAATGTGTTTATAATTTTACCAGTAACTTTTCTTCCATAACATACTATAGGATTCAAATTTTGTGCTCACTATTCATGGGTTATTTTGAACAATAACTTTACTTCTTGAGCATACTACAAAATTGAAAGAACACCATTACACTTAAAAAAAAATCTCTAAGTCATTGCTGCATCTCTATGCAGTGATTCTATATTCTGTTAATGTAAGCATCTCTACTACTAAAGAAATTCTGAGTGCTTTCTTTTTCCCTTTTTAACAGGATTCTTTATAATTTACTTTCTTTTTTTATTTATTCTTTCTTGGAAGGGAAACATCTGGGAACAGATTTTACGAATACCCTTCATCTTGGAAATAATTAATGCGGTTCCTTTCATTATTTCAGTAAGTCCTACTATCTTAAAAACCACAACTTTATTATTAGATTTAAGTAAATAATCTAAATATACATCTTTTAAAATAATATAGCCAATTCGATTAAGGGTTAGAATTATAGCACTGAAAGAAAATTTTTAAAATGGATAACTGAATTGTGGTGTAATTACATGAAATCTAAGGAGATTCAGTATAATAACAAAATGAATTTTGCCTCAGAAAGGTATGCTCTGCAGGTGCCATGTGAATAAATTTCTGTATTGTCTAAAGTGACTCAAAATGATTGACCACTTTTTTTATTTTGTGGAATTTTTGAAGAGAGAAACTAATTAGAATCAAGTATTTATAATTGTTTCTCATACTGAAAGCATATTTAAATCTCCAGTTTAGCTACAAGATTTACTATGAAAATTGTCTAGTAAGGTTATGAAAAAACAGACAAGTGTCAGTTCACTTTGTATCAAAGTATTATGTGGTACCAATTCCACAGTGAACCCGTTTAATTACAGTCCCATAAATATATGACTCAGTACGTACCCATCTGCAAAATTGGGTTTTAAGCTCAATTTGATGTGATAATATTTTTCTGGCTTAGTCTCTAACACTTTATTTCAATTTTATTTGAAATTTTTTTAAATAAGTAGAATTATCCGAATGTAGTGTTCACTTCCAGCAATTATGAGTGCTTTATCTACTGCAGGAACTAGAACTAGATTAAATGACAAGCTAACTAGATATAATTCCAAGTGAACATAGATTCCCAATGTTGTATGAAATGCTTGAATCTAAAGACAGTAAATTGTAGTGTTCTAAAATACAAGGCCTCTCTCCTTCTTGATACTCCCCACTTCAAGTTACAGGAAAGAGAGAACCAATGTCTATTATAAAACATCATACTGAAAGATTTAATAATAGAATTAGCATAGCTACATCTGACATCTTATGAGAGTATATTATTTTCTTTCTCCTTCTGCAATAATTTCCAGAAGAAAGTGTCAGGCAATGAATCAAAGGTCTTAACTGGTACTGATATTTATGTAATAATGAGTTCAAGTATATGCTACATGTTTTAAGTGACGACATTGTTTTTATTATATTTCATTTGGCTGTACATTGCTTTTTAATTTCTAACTACAATTGCTTGGTTCAAGGTAAAAATTAAATTTTCATTTTCATTTCAGATATTCTGGCCTTCATTAAGGAATCTATTTGTCCCAGTTTTTCTAAACTGTTGGCTTGCCAAACATGCCTTGGAAAATATGATTGTAAGTATAAAAATTAAGTGCGAATACTAGAAAAACCCTGACATTTTTTAATCATCCATTTTTTCCACTTACTTTCAGTGCCTCAATAGAAAAATAATATGCTTTGGGGTGCAGTCTTTTGCTTTTCCATTCTGTCTCCTCTCAAAATGTTAACCGTGTGGAATTTTGTTCTAATCAATTCTTCAAATATTTCAGTTTTAAGACTTTGAAATTAATTTAGTGTCTCAGTAGTTTTCTATACATTTTCACAATATACTATTTGCTGAATACTGTTAAAGTGATAACTTTCATACTACAAATATTTAAGTTAATAAACTTGAAGTGACCAGTCTTTTCTATTCTAATCAGAATTTTAAAAAAAATTAAAAATGCTCGTATTAGGCCGGGTATTTAGCTCAGCGGTTTGGTGGCCTGCCTCACAAGCGCAAGGACCCAAATTTGATGCCCCATACGAAAAAAAAAAAAATGCTCATATTGCCAAGTTACTGCCTTTGTAAAGCCCTATGATTGTAAAGAAAAGTTGATTCAGATATTTTTCATCAAACTAACATATTGTTATTTGGATTCGTGCTATGGGTTGGCCAATCTTTTTTAAAATTAATTTTATTGGTACATTTTAGGTGTACAGCATGTTGACATTCATGATTCAGAGTCTGTACCTTTACATAATATGTCTTGGTTCTTATTTTTTTCCTCATTCCATTGCTCTTTCTTCAACCCCTCCGCCCCTTCCGATTTGCAAAGACTTTGTTTCCATTTTTTCTTTTTCTCATATGTTTCTTTCCCTTCTTTCCTTTCCCCTACTCCTCTCACTTCTCCTTCCCCTTCAGGCCTTTTCTTCCTATTTCACATTATCTATTATACATTGTGATTTTTATTTAAACTTTTAGGTTCCTATCCAGAGAAACTATTCTGTATTTACACATGTCCTATCTATTTTACTTAAGAGTGTCACCTCAGTGTGCGTCCATTTAGGTCTAAATGTTGATAGATTGTCATTCTTTATGGCAGAGTAGTACTCCATTTTATTTTTTTTTAAACCCCATATTTTCTTTATCCAGTCTCCAGCTGATGGACAATTGGGCTGTTTCCAAGTTTTAGCTACTGCAAACTGTGCCACCATGAACATGAGTGCACATATATTGCTGTGGTATGATTCTTTTAATTCTTTGAGACCCAGCAGGAAAATAGCTAAGGTCAAATGGGATTGCTAATGCTAGTTTATTGAGGTATCTCCACACTGATTTCCACAGTGGTTGCATCAGTCTACGCTTCCACCAACAGTGTAGAACAGTTCCTTTTTCCCAAAGACCCGCCAACATTTGTTCTTGGTTGATTTCTTGATAGCAGCCATTCTTTCTGGGGTGAGGTGGAATCTCAGTGTTGTTTTCATTTGCATCTCTCGAATAACCAGTGATGAACATTTTTTCATTTGTGTATTTGCTGTTTCTATTTCTTTGTCTGAGAAATGTCTGTTCATTTCAGATGTCCATTTTTGGATTGGGTCTTTAAATTTGGGAGATCTGATTTTTTTAAGTTCTTTATATATACTTCATAGTAGACCTTTGTCTGAGGAACAGCAGTAAACATTTTTTTCCCACATTGTGGGTTATCTCTTCACTCTGTTGGTGGCGGTGTTTCTCTTCCTATGCAGATGCTTTGTAATAAGAAGAGATCCCACTTATTGAGTCTTTATGCTAATTCACATGCAACACATGATTTGTTCATGAAATCTTTTCCTACACCCATGTCTTCAAAAGTTCTACCTAACCTCTCTTCCAGCCAGTTTAGTGTTTCTGTTTTAATATTTAAATCTTTAATTCATTTCAATTTTAGTTTATTGCATGGTGAGAGATATAGGTCTAGTTTTAATGTTTGCCAAGTTGAAGCCCAGTTTTTCCAGCACCATTTATTAAAGAAGCTATCTTTCCTCCAGTGAGGGTGTTTGGTGCCTTTGTCAAAGAAAAGGTGGCTGAGTGTTTCTGGAGGTGTTTCTGGATCTTCTAATTAGTTCCACTGATCCTCGGGTCTGTTTCTTTGTCAGCACCATGCTGTTTTTATCACAGTGGCTTTGTAGTATAGTTTCAAGTTGGAGATTGTGATACTTTCACTTTGTCTTTGTTGCCTGAAATTGCTTTTCCTATTCTAGGTCTTCTTGTTCCAAGTGAATTTTTGGGTTGTTTTCTCAAGGTCTGTGAAGTATGCTCCTAGGATTTCAATTGGGATGGCATTGAATCTTTATCACAGTTTTGGAAGTATGTCCATTTCCACTATTTTGGTTCTTCCTACCCAGGAGCAAGGAATGTCTTTACATATTCTGATATCCTGTTTGATCTGTTTTTAGAGTTCTGTAGTTTTCAGAGTACAGGTCTTTGATTTCTTTCATTAGGTTGATTCCTAGGTATTTCACTTTTTTGGTTGCAATTGTGAAAAGAGTTGCTTCTCCAGTATCTCTCTCAGTGAGTCTGTTGTTTGTGTATAGGAAGGATACTGATTTTGTGTGTTGACCTTGTATCCAGCTACTGTACTGAATTTGGTTATAAAATTTAGAAGAGTTTGGGTGGAATTTTTGGGGTCTTCTATATAGAGTATCATGTCATCTGCAAATAGAAATTCAACTTCTTCATTTCCCATTTTTATTCCTTTTATTTCTTTCTCTTGTCTAAGTGCTGTGACTAATGTTTCCATAACTATATTGAACAGGGGTGGTGATAGTGGACATCTTTATCTTGTTCCTGATTTTGGCATGAAGGATTTCAATTTTTGATCATTTAGTATGATATTGGTTGTTGGTTTTTCATAAATGGCTTTTATTGGGTTGAGTTAGAGACTGTCTATTCCAATTTTCTATAGAGTTTTTTTTTTTACCATGAATGGGTGTTGGATTTTTTTGCATGCTTTTTCTACATCTATGGAGATGATCATAGGACTTTTGTCCTTGACTCTATTAATATAGTGTATTATGTTTATTGATTTGGTTATGTTGAACCATCCGTGAATCTCTGGGATGAATCCCATTTAGTCAGGGTGTGTGTTCTTCTTGATGACTCTCTGTATTCTGTTTGCCAGTATGTTATTGAGGATTTTTGAATCTATGTTCTTCAGTGAGATTGGCCTATAGTACTCTTTTTTGGTTTGGTCTTTCTCTGCTTTTGGGATCAAGGTGATGATTTCTTCCAGGAATGAATTTGGTAGTATTGATTCCCTTTCTATTTCATTGAAGAATTTAAACAGTAGTGGCAATAGTTCCTCTCTAAATGTCTTGTAGAATCCATCAGTGAAGCGATCAGGACCTGCACTTTTCTTCATTGGTAAGTTTTAAATTATATTTTTAATTTCACTGATTGATATTAGATTGTTTAAAATTTTTAGGTCTTCTTTGTTCACCTTTGGTAATTCATATTATCTAGAAATCTGTCCTTTTTTTTCTGTTTTCCATCTTATTGGCATATAGGTTCTCTGTGCAGGTTTTGCTGAGCCTCTGGATTTCAGCTGTGTCTATTGTAATTTCACCTTTTTCATTCCTAATTACATGAATTTGGGTATTTCTTTTTTTTTTTTTTTTTTGTTTTTTTTTTTTTTTTTTTTTTTTTTTTTTTGGTAAGGTTGGCTAAGGATTTGTCGAATTTCTTTATTCTTTTGAAGAAACAATTCTTTGCTTTATTGATTGTTTTGGTGCCATTCTAAGAGTCTCCATTGCATTAAGTTCTGCTGTTCTTTATAATTTTTTCCTGTGTATGAGCTTTTTTTCTAGGATTGTGAGGTTCAGCATAATGTTGTTCATTTGAGCTCACTGTATATTCATAATATGAATTTTCAGTGCTATGAATTTCCCTCATAAGATTGATTTCATTGTGTCCCATAGATTCTGATATGTTGTAGTGGCATTGTCATTTAATTTTAGAAACTGGCTGTTTTCTTATTTAATTTCCTCTGTGACCCAGTGGTTATTCAGAACTGTGTTGTTCAGTTTCCATGTGTTTATGAGATTCTTGTGGTTTCTTTTACTATTGATCTCCAATTTCATTGCATTATGGTCTGATAATATACAGGGGATAACTTCAGTTCTTTTTCACTTATTTAAATATGTTTCATGAGCAAGTATATGGTCTATTTTGGAGATCAGATGTGTAAAGGTGAAAAGAATATGTTTTCTGATTTTATTGGGTGGAACACTAAACATCTGTTCAGTCCATTTGTTCAAGAGTTTGAGCTCTAGTATTTTGTTGTTTATTTTTTGTCTAGTTGATCTATTTCTGACAATGGGATATCAAGGACCCCCACTACTATTGTATTCATGCTTATTTGATTTTTCATGTCTATTAGTATTTGTTTTATATAGTTGAGTGCCCTAATATTTGGTGCATATATATTTGTGATTGTCAAATCTTCCTCCTGGATTATTCTCTTTACAAGGATGTAGTGATTTTCTTTGTAACTCTTAATTAGTGTTGGTTTTAAAATCCACTTGATCTACAAAGAGGATAGCTCCTTCTGCTTTATTGGGGGTTCTTGTCACATGGAGTATTGTTTTCTACCCTTTAATTTTCAGTCTATAAGTTTCTTTTTGAATTAAGTGTGTTTTTTGTATGCAGCATTTGTTGGAACTTGCTTCTTGACTCATTCTGCCAGTCTGTTTCTTTTGATTGGTGAATTCAGACCAATAACATTGATTATGATAACTCATATGTATTGATTTATTTTTGTTATGACCTTTTCCTGTTGTTGATTCTCCCCCTTTGCATTTAATTTCTTATCTTGCCTAATGAACTCATTCTGCTGGGCTTCCTGGGCTTGTGATCCTCATTGTCTTTTCCTAGGATATTGTTTAAATTTTTTAGAGCTCTACTTTGGTATTTATGAAGTTCCTCAGGTGCTCTTTGTCATGGAAGTATATTATTTCTCCATCAATTTTGAAAGATAGTTTTGCAAAGTACATCATTGTCAGTTCAGGAAGTTCAGCTGGTTGTATGTCAGATTGTTCCATCTTGTTGCGTCTTGGGGTTGCCTTAGGTAATGTGGAAGTTTGATTTTGAGTCTTGTTTACATTTCTTCTCATTTAAACAGATGCTGCCTGGTACACCTTTGTTGAGACAACTTTTTGCTTGCCCAGTAGGCTTCAATTTTCAGGAAGCCTCAGAGAGGCCTTCTCTGCTTACTGCTGCATCAATTCCTGGGTTCATAATGGTAGCCTTCTGGATCCCTGCACTGCACTGTTTTCCAGGCAGGACTCTGGCTGGGGCTTGAGCACACTTAGGATGGCATCTGGGCATGCCTCTGCCTGATGCTTTCCCACCTGCATAGCTGTTGTCTGTGAGGGCCTTGTCTGGGAGCTGTACACCTGAGTCCCTGGTGTCTGAGTGGGCTTCTGGCTGGGGTCTGGGTCCACTTACTGATGGTACAAGGGTGGGCCTCTGTCTTTTGCCTGAGCACTTGCACAGCTGTTTTCCAATTGTGCCTTTGGCTGGGGCCTGGGCCCAAACTACCATTGTCTGGGCTGGACCCTGGCTAGGACCTTGGTACCTTCTCACCTCTGGTCCATGTGGACTTCTCACTGGGATTTGCACCACTTACCAATGGTATCTGAGTGAGCCTCTCTCTGTTCGCTCAGTCTTCTGAATACACATATTCATCCCTTCAAGGCAATCTGTTCATGTATAGTGAGACTCCCTATTTTGAGGATTCAAGAAAGTGATCTCGTCAAATTGCTTTTCATTGTATGTAGTTTCATGTTCCATGAAAATCTGTGGGGCTTTTTATGCCCCCATATGAGAGATACAATCTCATTTAAAGTCATTATTTTAGATTTGTTGAGTTGGGGTGTGTAAGGGATATTAGAATGTAGAAAGGAAAATAAATACGGTGAAACTACTAGACTCTCATGAAAGCCCATGGCCGAAGGGTGGGAGAGATTGGCTTGTGGAATGATTTGCAATTAAGAATGATCTTAATTGCTCCTGAGAAACACTGTTTGACTGAACATGGATTTCCAAAATTGCTAGCAAATAAACACACCAGGGGAAAAAACTGAGTCTCTTTGTTAATTACTATCCAAGTAGTTGTTGGAAAATTAACCTAACCAAGACAAGGATCATTAGTCAGTCATTGAGAGAAAATAACTGCTTTGCAATCTTAATGTAGAATTTATTCCCATTTTATATCTATATCTGTATTTTGCTTTACCTCTTTCTTTGGATACTGAAGTTTTGTTTTCTGATCATTATTCTCAGCCATAAGAAACTAAATGATGAGAGATGTATTCTGATTAGTCAACTTACTTGTTTTCATATTAGTTCTTGTTAAATTTGTAATATAGGAAAATATAGCCCATTGAGGACTTTTCATTAGTGAAGTAATTTAACTCATGATATTAATTTAAGATTATTAAAAGTACATTCTGAAAAAAATATGAGGTTTACAGAAAACTGTAAAGAAAAATGATAAAAATTCACAAATGAACAATGCAGACAAATACTCATAATTTCCACTTTGTTTCTTATGCAAAAATATGCTCACATAGCATGGATAAAATTTTATTGCATTTCAGCTCTTACATTTGGAACTTTTTTCAAGCTCAAATAGATAGTGGACAAATTATATTTTTACTTTATCCAAATCATTTTTAATGAATGTATCATAATATATTACATAAATATTGATGTATTTATTTAACCATTTATGTAATGTATATTTTGTTGTTATAACAGTAATAACCACTCATTATTTTATATGATAAATATGATTTTATAATAAAGATATGTCCACAGGTATTGATGATTATTGATGATGACTTTCACATCATTATGTTTTGGATTATGCTATTGAATTAATATTTTTTGAACAATTGAATGAATGCATGAAATAGAAAGGCCAAACTTGTGAGCTTTGATATATGTTACCAAATTGCCTTCCAGAAATTTATTAATGATTACCTGAATGGTGTTGTATGTAAGTGCTCATTTCTTGCCCTGTAAACAATACTGTATATTGGTATTTATTAATGTTTGCCAATTGTAAAGGTAAATATATATCTTGAATTAAAATTTTTTAATACTGCTCTTAATAAAATGAAACTTTAAAACATTTGTTCACCATGTTCTTTTTATGTTTTATAATGAACTTGTTGTTTCTGCCCAGTTTTACTTCCCTTTTTATTGAATATTTGTTATGATCTTTTGAAATTAGAATTTTTCTATGAGAGATCATCATTAGAACTTTTGTGGGAGTAAGGGTAACCGAGGTTCAGATTTCTGCAAGGCTAGTAAACTGAAATGTAGTGCTGTAGTGATTTTCTCATACTGCTGTCCTTGGAACACAAATGCTATAGTAAGTTGCATTCCAATCTAGGCAGAAATGAAAATATGCTGCTAAATCCATTTAAAATATGTGTTACTGAAATGTGTGTATTGTGATTGTGGTATATATGTATATGTTTCTTGGATGTAATTAAATGATAAATTTAATTAACCTCATGTATATTTGGTATTTATCAAAATTTATAATATGCTCCTTTCTGTATTCTTTCAGAATGATCTGCACAGAGCCATTCAGCGTACACAGTCAGCAATGTTTAATCAAGTTTTGATTTTGATATCTACATTACTATGCCTTATCTTCACCTGGTAAGACAGTACATTTCAGCATTTTTATTGTGTTCCATTTCTATATTGTATTAAACTATATTATAAACCAGTTTCATTAATAGTGAGGTACAAATATATTCACCATAAAATATAGCAGATTCCTGCAGAAGCAAAATAAAAATAAAATTCATCTTTAAGTCTTACAGTAAGCACATGAAAGTACCTATCACTGGGTACTGATCTTACTGTAACACTGACATTTTCCCAAATTCTGTAAAACAGCCAAATCACGAAAATTAGTACTGCAAGCCATAGTTGTCAAACAAGATTTTTTCTCTCAAATGGTAGACACAGAGGTGCCCTCATCTTTGTACTTTCTTCAAAGCAGAAACTGTTGGGAAAATTGTCACCGCCCATCACCGTCTCTGTCTCTGCCACATCTGCACGACGCCGCAGTGTGCTGTCAGGTGGAGAGCAAGGGCGGGTGCCCCCACAGTGCAGGCCAGACCTAGAGCTCAGCGTCCTTGAAAAACACTCTCATCCCTTCTTGTGGAAGTCAAACTTTGCCAATGGTAAAGTCGTCCAAAGTGCAATGGTTTATTACACATACTGATTCATTCAGGCAACTGTTAGCAAGAGGAAAAAAAATATAAAAATTAAAAACATGTAAAAAAAATATCAGCTGTGTAAGAGTCGTAGATATTATGTGTAGCTATAGTGTAACCTGGTTTAACTGTGTTTAGAAAGAGGAAAAGCCAACTGAGCGGTGTTAGAAAAGCGGGGGGCATACACATACAGTACTGCAACTGAGCTTTACTTCAGCTGTATTTAGACTGTAGAAGTGTGTGCAAACGCATCCTTAGGTGTGGCTGCTATTTTGCTGCAGTGATATGCAGTTAATATCTCCACTAAGTGGACCTCAGTATGTTTTATTTCATGCTTTTGTGCTGAAAATAACATACTTGTAGATATTTAAATGTAAAATAGTACATGAAAATCGATATATTTTCATCTGACTTGATTTGCCGTTCCATAACTCGTCTTTTTGGTTTACCTAGTAAATATGTAATTGCATGAACAGGACATGATGAATGTAGTGACTTCCCTTTTAAAGTTACTGAAGTTGATAATTTCTATATAATGACATTATTTGATTAGCCAAGAAAATTTCTCATATTACTTGAGGAAAAAGATTTAAAGTAGAAACATATAAACTTATATATGTATTGCATGTAAATGCAAATTTTCCAGTTGCTGGAAAAGTACAAAAGTTAAAATTAGTAAATTCTATATGTAGTGTGGGAGTCTCCTAAAGTAAATTATTAAAAAATACTCATGAAAGTCTTTGCAGATAGGGGTTGATTGGAGGGGATGAAGGGAGGGCAGGAGTATGGGGAATAAACGAGAACCAAGATTTGTTATGTTAAGGTACAAGATCCCAATGAGGAATGTAACTGTATTGTATACTTAAAAAGTACCAATAAACTCAATAAGATTAAAAAAAATTCTCGTGGCTTCAAATGTAGTTCACTTGCTTATACTATCCACAAGGTCCTGGATTTGATCCTAAGCACTGGAAAAAAATTAACTGTGATATTATTGCCTAAATGAATACTAGTTATTTTTCCATGATGACATTGAGCAGTACTTTTGTTTGGAAGGCATTCCCATTGCAGTGACTCATGATCTATCATAGCTTCCTATTTACTCTTAGTTTCTGTCTACTACTTCTATTTTTTGAGCAGGTTGTTTTCAAAGAAAGCAACTAGACAGAATTTGACACTTTCGTATGCCAAAGGAGGCAGTAGTTCCACAGAAAAGGTTTTCACTGCTTAAAATTTGCATTATGCAATTTATTGATCATTAAAATAATGTGCATTTCACTTTTGTTGCCATTATAACTGGTGTTTTTGTTGTTGCTCAGGGATTTCAGTATCAGACAGTTGGTGGTTGATGTGATAGATTTTTCCCCCCGGTATTAGAGCTGTCAGAGGAATGAGCACATCTCTGAAAGTGCAGTATTATGTAAACTCATGTTGAGCTGAATAATAAAATGTTCCTGTAGCATAACATATATCACACATATATTGATGCATTTTTGCATGATCATTTAGAATGGAGAGGTTGAAGTTGATTGATTTGTGTTCTTCACAAGCATTGCAGTCTTTGTAGATCATGAGTGCCGTAAGATGCATAAGTCTCCTTCGAAATTATCATTAAAAGTGCTATTCTCTAAAAAGAAATATATAAACATTCTTATTTTAGTCATAATCTGTCATGCAGGCTCTTTTGGTAAATAGTTACATCTTACTCAGTATAAAACAAATCATATAGTAACTTAACTAAATAGAAATGTCTAGGTAGTCTGTGTAGGATTGGTATACTAAAAATACTGGTGGGCACTAAATTTTCTTATGTCTTTTTTCTGCCATTGCCCAACTGTGCTTTTTAATCTTGTGGTTTAAGATGACCAATACAGGGCCAGGGATTTAGCTCAGTGGTTCCACTGCCTGCTTCGCAAGTGTGAAGTCTGGAGTTCGATCCCTGGCACCCAAAACACAAAAGGGGACAAAACCAAAAGGATGATTGATACGCTCTTACCATTGCTTCTGAGCTCCTGCTTTTGGGAAGGAAGGTCTAACAGAATTTTGAATGCATAATTTAATCTAGAATTTATATATTTATACATAGTAAATAGAGTGCCTGCAAAAATGTGATTCAGGCTGGATGTAATAGCATATACCCGTAACCCCAGTGCTCTGGTAGGCTGAGGCAGAAAAAGATTTAAAGTTGGAGCCCACCTGGGCAACTTTGACACAGTCTCAAAAAAAAGACTGAAAGAAGGCTGTGGATGTAGCTCAGTTGCGAGGCTCTGGGTTCAGTCTTCATCACTGGGCCTAAAAATGTAGTCCACTGGGGAGCAGTATATTCAGTTGAGTGTTTTACTTTCACCGAGACAGTAAGCTTTTGGCATGGATAAAGTCATCCAATTTAAATGCTGTATTTATCAGTTGTTTTTTTTTAATATCAATTTTATTTGTACATTTTAAGTATTCAATATAATGACATTCATCACTGAAAATTTGTATCTTTACATAATCCATCTTGTTTCTTATTTTTTCCTCATTCCCCTGCTCTCCGTTCAACCCCTCTACCCCTCCTTATTTATGAAGACTTTGTTTCTTTTTAAGACTTTGTTTCTGTTTTTTTATTTTCTCATATTAATTCCCTTCCTGTCTTTCAGTCCCTCCCTTTTCCCCTTCCCCTTTGGACCTTTTCTTCCTATTTCACAAATACATAAAACCAATTACAATGGAGAAAACCATTTCCTTATGTTTCTGTTAAATAAATTATAGGCACTGTGGTTTCATATTGTAGTATTCTTAACAGGTCATTATGTTTATCTGTTTTAAATTAAATCCAATTTATAGATAGATGTAATTTAATCCCTGTTTTAAAAGAAACTCATAAGGTGATAAGCATTGTCTTTGTTTAATGATTTCTACAAAAATTTGTTCAAGGGCACCAAGCTAATGGAATCCCAAGATTTAAACAACTGATAAACATGCCTTTTGATCCTTATTTGCACTTTCAGTTTCTCACACCAGATAAACTATTCAGTATTTACATGTCTGTCCTATTTATTTCAGTTTGAAATATATACTTTCCCCTGCTTATCTCCATTAAAGAAAATGCTTAGCACCTCTTTCTCTATGTATATTTAATATTCACAATTTTATGAACATAGCATCACAGGATGCTCATAGCTCCACTCTCAATTTGGTATGAGTCATTTATTTTATTTGAGAATAAGATGACCAATAGGGCCAGGGATGTACTGCAGTGGCACTGTGCCTGCCTTGCAAGCACAAGGTCCTGAGTTCAATCCCCAGTGCCAGACAAAAAGAGAATAAGATGACCAGGGGGGTAGCAAGTAGGGGAATGATTTCATGCAGCAGACAAAAGATGATTGCTTTGTAAAAATACTTGTAAAAAACAATGTTTAGGCTATTTGGGAATATGTCTACTATGAACAAACATTCAATTATCTTTACCCACTTTTCTTTATATTGACTATATACAACATCTGAAAGTAATATTGTCTTATCCTATGTATAAAGCTATAAAAGAAGAATAGCTATGTTTAACAGTTTGGTGAGTGTAATTATAAACAGTTGTTATTACAGTAAGATTATCAATCAGAACTTTTCACACAATGTATTTGGACTTTGAAAGATTCAGGAATTAGTATTTGGATGAATTAGTTATATTCTTCATGAACCTCACAGTTTTAAAACGACCTGTTTGAGAAAGCTGCTATATAGTGTTAAAATGGATCTTCTCTTCATGTTTATTAACATTACAAAGAACTATCATGAAGCATCTGTCTATGAGAAACACATGCTCAGGCTGAACTGAAATGAAAATTGAGCTGCAACCCACTCTCTTCAGGAAATGTGCTCAGAATTGTTTTTCCTGTCATTGTAATGGAATTGGGCTATTCTGTCTCTACATTGGCTCAGTACCCCTCTTGATCAATAATGCTCACTCCCAAGACAGCTGGGAATTGTGATTCAGTGTGTGTCTCTGAAAAAAAGCCAAGTAAACTGGTACATCCGGGAAATAAGTGCATGACTTTCGCTTAATTATCAACATATTCTAACCAATGATAAGTGCTACAATTTATAATGCAATGGGTGTTTCTAATTTTATGTTGACAGCCTTATTTTGCAGCTATTTCATTTCAAAACTTTAATTTTTTCAATTAATGTGTATTTCCACAATTTTCATGTTATTTCAGTTATAAAATGAAAATCTACATTAACGAATATTTTTCTCCTTTAGTTCAGTGTAAAATTTCAATTCACTTTTTGTCTTCTTTCAGAAGAAAACAAATTTTTATTGTTTAAAGATATCTAGCTAAATATTATCGACATGCTAAATTCAGTAATGTTTGAAATTTTCCTGTGCATTGATTAGCATTTATTTTAGTGGTGGTTGCTCAATGTTCTTGAATTCTACTTATTGATACTGTTACT